ATTTCAATATTTTAGTAATGTATATTTCTTTTATGTTTATTTATCATTCATGTATTTACTATCAATATATTATTGTATTAGTTTTTAATGAATCCATTGAACAACTATTAAATTAATCAAAGACAAGAATAGTTTGTGATTGAGATCATGAACCGATTGATGTTAGACCACAATTGAAAACCTGGAAGCACTGGACGGCCGTTTTGTTCTATTATGGGACTCCTCAACAGTGCCTATCCACGATCTCACTCGTGGGATTCGAACCAAGGGCCTTCAGTCTTGCGCTCGAACGCTTAACCTACTGGACCACTGAGCCGGCATACAATGGTGTTAATGTCTAACCTAAACAAACAGTTTTCGGGGAATTTTTTGTCTTTGTTTTTGTTTTTAAGGACAGTAACACTTCTTACTGATACTATAAACTATACATAATAACATTATTAGTAATCATCATAATACATTGATCAAGTTAGAATTATAGGAGTTTTAGTTAGTAACTAATATACATGACCTGGATAGTTCGTTTTGTTTTGTTTACTTACTTTACTATGTACGCGTTAATGTTATATATTCCTGTTGGTTTCCTATTTCATTGTCAACAAATCATTAAGCTTTTCTCTTTTTTTATACAACTAACTATTGTCCTCATAATCAGTAATGATTATACTGAAGGTTATGATATAAGGAAGCCTTGGTCATTATTGGTTACTAATGTTAAAAGCATGGTAATAATAAATCATAGATGATAAACACCTATTTGTTTATTTATCCTTAGTTAAGCAAAAAACGTTTGTTTATATGTTTTATTAATCTGAATATGTTTGATCTATCTCCATTGGAAATTAATGGTTTGTATCATATAAAATGTTTTAGTTTAAAGGTATACTGAATGAATGATTGATTTTAACTAGATTACTGTTGAAAATCGACTGTGTGTGTGTTCCGTTATATTATAAGACTTTATAATGATGGACACTCAATTATACCAAGAATAAATACAATAGTCTTGAGGCTTTATGGCTATTGTGCTACATTTAAACCATTGAATAGCTTTTCAAAAGTATTAATTTTCATTCGTTAATTCCAGCTTAATTCATTTTTATATTGATCGTTTGAATCGTTTCATTGATGTTTAGGACTGCAATTGATCAGTCTCTTATTATTGGCATATATGCATCCTGTACGGATTGTCTCGATATTTTCTTCATTCATAAGCATTGTAAGCAAAGATAGATAGTAGCTAACAGTGGAATCCAGGACTCGTCAGTACAAGTTATTTGGGCTTTATTGATTACTGTCAAATGACTATCTCATTCGTGGTTGTGTTACACATTATGGGTTAACTTAATCTAGACATGTATGAAATGCCAGGGTAGTAGTACATGACTCTACGAGGCGTGAAATTCTCGATTTATTCTCTACCATGGTTCTAGTTGCCCATTCCTGTGGATTTCTGTTCTAATATAAAACAACTATCTAGTAATCCCTGGTATATAGCAGCTGGGTAGCTAGGGTTAATCCATAATACATACTTTGCTTAGCTTAAACTATCATCATAAATGAATCGATTTCTCGGTACGTTATTTCGATTGTTTGTTCTTGAGGCCTAAAGGGGTTTTTAGGTTGTCAACAGCCACTTTTTATAATACCGTTAATTGCTGATGTCATACATTTAACATTTTTATCAGTATACGTTTTTGATTGAGATCATGAACCGATTGATGTTAGACCACCTTTGGAAACCTGGAAGCGATGGACGGTCGTTTCGTCCTATTGCGCGACTCCTCAACAGTGCGCATCCACGATACCGATCGTGGGATTCGGACGCATAACCCATCAGTCTCGAGCGTCAGCGCTTAACCACTTAACCACTGAGCTGCCCAGTATCCAACGGTGTTAATACTTAACTTTAACCAATCCATGAAATCGAGCGACACATTCGCCATTGTCTTCAATGAACTACTATCTCACAAGTGTCCTAATCACTGCTTCTCACTAGAATTTCCGGTTTTCCATGGTAGTCTAGCTTCAATTGACTCATGGTATCGACTATTGAAATATAAATATATATTCGAATATAATCGCACAATTTGAGGATTAATTTAAGGTAGACATTAACACCGTTGGATACCGGCTTAGTGATCTAAAATTTAGGCGTTCTCATATAAAACCTAAAGTCCCGGTTTCAATTCCCTTGTTCAAAGTTGTGGATACACACTGGCGATGAGTCTCATTCTAGGATAAAACAGCCATTCAGTCAGTTAGCTACAACGTAGGACCAGGCACATATATGCATCGGTCTAAGTTGTCACATCTCATTAGCACAACAACATGAACACCGGATTCATAGAAGCAGTTACTTTAATTTTAGTAATATATGAAAGAAACATTGTGTACAAGGATATGATACAGGAAGAAAGAAAGATATGAAGTGATTTTTATATCATAGTGTATACACCTACACCATTGTGATCGATTCTGAGCTATGCCATTTAGAGTCTCCAACCATTGATTACGATAGTTACGTGTACCCCAATCAAATAGTTTGCATCTACCTCTATGACTCAGACTATAAGTTAATGACTTCAAGGATTGATGCCATATTTTGGTTTAGCCACCTCTAACTTTCTTTCAACCATCCCTAACACTAATTAACCATTCAATACTTCTAGATTTTCAATAATAGTCAGTCAGTAACAACTTAAATCAATTTCAACATTTAACCATGTTAACTGATTCCAACTTTCTCAAAAATAAACAAAACAAAAGAAAAAGAATCAAAATTACAAATCATACTATTCTAAAATAGTAATTTTATGTGTCATACAATAATGAATTGTTAGTTAAGGAATGTTTACATAAAGGAATGAATGAATGAGTGGTAATTCATAAACAATCTCATTCATAAATAATCAAAGTTAACTTGATACCAATTACCATTCATAAAACCCTACTCTTATAAATATATATATTTTCTTTATTAAAAGATTCATGTATTATTCTATTTAATTCCATTAACTAAATCTTGTTTTTGTCTACATTCAAAACTTGAAGCTAGACCACTAGGGGAATATTTGGAAGCATTGGATGGTTGTTTTATTCAAATATGTGGTTTAGAGATTAGGCGTTCGCGTACGATATTGTATAGGTTTTTGATTTGAACCTTACTAGACGGGATCGTGGATGTGCATTGCTGAGGAGTTTCATAATAGGATGAAACGGTCAACCAGTTTTTTTATGGTGGTCTAGCTTCAATTGACTTATGATTTCAACTGTTGAAATTATTATAATATCTACAAAAATCCCTTCTGATATAAATATTTATTTATTTAAACACATAAACATGAGTACAAGTAGGTACCGAATACATATGCGCTACATAATTCATTGAATTTGTGTGAGGGCTGAGATATTGTCCGGGTATCCAGACCGAAGCAGGTGGATTTCTTATGGTACCACACATAAAGCCTTCAATCTAAAGGTCTGATCTACAAGTCAGGGGAGCAACGTTAGGAGATACAGTCCCATGGTAGTTGGTGACCATCGATTGGTTCATATGCCATGTGATGCTTCAGGATACTAGAGTCCATGTGCACCATTGGTTTGTAATCAGGGTTTTTCAACTCCCTTATCTAGATCCTCCATATCCACCAACCCGGCTAGAGAAATAAACATTTAGTTTTTATCCTCTTTGTTTTGTAAACAACATCCCCACCACGAGAAGGCAGTGAGTCGGAATTTCCTGTCAGTGGCTGCATACGTGTGGCCATGTGAGAGTGTTTGGAGGAAGGAGAGTGGACTCTCCCCACCCCCGATTCATCAGGGCATTTGGCGACAAGCTTTAAGTTGCAATAACACCAAGTCATAGTGTAGATTTTGACCTACTACTTAGATATATAGGTAAACGAAATTGAACAATTTAATGTTGAAGCCTACTGCCGCTACACTAGTTGTCTTCATCTGCATTTGTTCATGTGTGTGGGATAGAAGTGCTTGGTCTTTGCGAAGTCCATTCATCCAGTTCCATCCAACCTGTCCATTGTATTTCGTGTTTCTACCCACATGCGGAGGTTTTCATAATCCACCACCAGAAGAAAGAAAAAGAGGGAGAGTACGCAGCCTTGTCTCACTCCGGTTCTCACTTGGAATGAGTCTGTCAGCTATCCTCTATGCATCACTTTGCAGTGTAGTTCATTGTATGAATTCCGAATTATGTTGACGATTTTCTCAGGTACACCATGGTGTTGAAGAAGGTTCCATAAAGTCATTCTATCCATACCGTCAAACGCTTTCTCACAGTCAACGATGTTGATGTGTAGTGACATGTTCCACTCAATTAATTGTTCAACGATGATCCATAGTGTCGCGATTTGTTCTGTGCACGACCGATCCATACGGAATCTAGCTTGTTGATTTTGAAGGTAAGCGTCTACTGAGTCTTTCACCCGGTTCAGTAACACTGTTAAAAACTTTCTCTGGTGTTGATACTACTGTTATGCTTCTTTAGTCTCCACATTTGCTCAGATCTCCTTTGTCTGGTATCTTGACGAGGTATTGTTCTTCGACATAAGGGAAGAATGTCTTACTATTTATTTTCTTTTGGCTCCAGTGCATACCCTTTGAATATATCTACATACAAAACTACACATGCCGCAACTCATGCAATTCATATGTATATGCATACACAATGGGCATCCTCTTCACGATGCCTCGGAGTAGGGTCTTCGCGAATCCAGGTTACAATAGAATAGTAGATTAGTTTGATCTCCACCGATTACCTAAGTTAGCTAATAAGGTGGCCCTCATTACCTAGCAGCTTCACATAGAAACCCTAGGTCAGATTTCACTGCCTTATTCAATTGTACTAAGAACAACACTCAACATGAAATCGTTGTGTTTGTTTGAAACAATTTGAAGATTTCTAGTATTCTTCAATTGTGTTGATACGTTTGATCAAAAGTCTTATTAAAATTTACTTCCACGAATTATTTATTCTATAGACAAGAAAAACAGTACATCATTGATCAATGGCAATATCTTCGTCCAGGAGATTTTGTTCGTTTACATACTAATGATATAATTCCAGCTGATATTTTATTATTAGCTACATCAAATAGTACCGGAATTTGTCATATTGAAACATCAAATTTAGACGGTGAATCTAATTTAAAACAACGTGAAATTATTTCTAACTTGTTGAATAAAGTAAGTTAAAAATAAACCATTTAGATATAGATTTAATTTACAATTACCAATTCTATTATCTAAACTTAATGTAAGTTAGTTTTTTAAGTATGAGACTGATCAATTGTAGTCCTAAATAACAATGGGAAGATACAAGCAAGTGACTAGCATGACTCAGTAGCTAAGTGGATAACACGATGAAGTTGGAAGCGAACGGTACTGGATTCAAGTCCCGGGATGAACATCAACTCTGGGATGCAGATACATCCAATTGATGAGTCCAAAATAGGACGAAGTTTCGCACATTCTGGATTCTACTGCTAACCACTATCCATCTTTACTTAAAAATAACTTGTGGCTTAAGGCTATATCGAGGCAATCCGCAGTCTTCACATATGCCAACAAGAGACTGATCAATTGCAATCCTAAATAACAGTGGGAAGATACAAGTAAAACAACACCAAGTGAATATGGGTTATTGTTTTGCAAGGCTGTATGAATGAGTTTAATAGCTACGTCAAATGTTATCATAAGTTTCTAACGTCTCCATTTCATATGGGGTTAGTAAGATAACTGTAGGTTAGTGTAAAATATCTTCCCCTTTAAATGGAAATTGTTACTTTAGGAATGGGCTGCATCAACACTTAAACGAAGGATAGGGAGTGAATTAGTCGAACGCGTCGACAACTTCACTTATCTTGGAAGTTTGATCAGCCTTAATGGGTTGGTGTCTGAAAAAATCTCTATACAGATTCAAAAAGCTTGTTTGGCTTTTTCAATATACGTCACCAATGACGAAGGCGAGATATCCGTCTATCAACTAAAGAACGAGTATGCTTCGCTACAGTTCGTTCTGTTCTACTTTATGGCTGCGAATTGTGGCCGTTAGTAGTAGAAGATATTCGTAAGATACTAGTATTTGATCACAGATGTCTTAGAAATATTGCTCGTATCTGTTGGGAACACCGGGTAAGTAATAGTGAAGTTAGATGCAAGGTATTAGGGAATGATGGTAAATCAGTTGACGAGGTTGTGAATCTTCATCGAGTGAGATGGTTGGGCCACGTGTTACGTATGCCTGAACTCCGATTACCACGACGTGCAATGCTAATCGGTGTTGGAGATGGTTGGACGAAAGTTAGGGGCGGCCAAACCAAAATGTAGCATCAGTGCTTGAAGTCACTAACTTCTAGTCTGAGTCATGTTGGTAGATGCAGATTACTTGGTTGGGGTCCTCATGACTATCGTAACCAATTGTTGGAGACTCTAGATGGCACAGCTGAGAATCGATCACAATTGCGTAGGTGTATACACTCTTTGTCTTTCATTAAATCGTTAGATTCTAATTGTCTTTTCCTTCTACCAACTAACTCTTTCTCCTTGTATCATATCCTAACATTTATTTATTCATGATAACAATCTAAAGTCAATAATCTCCACAATCATATACTGATATTTATGAGTTATCATTTGAATTCATCTATATTTCAATGAGTATTCTGGATTATGCAATCTGTCATCAAATAATGCTCATTATTACAATAAGTAACCTAGTGTATTGTGTTAATAATAATGAAATCATAGTAGATTTAAACTGACGAATCCTGACTACTTCCGCGTCTAATTCCACCGTAAGTATTTCAGCAAGTATATCAAGAAATTTATTTAAAACTAACATCTCTCATTGATGATTTATCATGATAGTTTTATGTAAACAGTAAATCGTTATTAGTCATATATATCTTTATTTATTTCTTTATTTACTTCCAAGGATGAATTTTCACCATTAACATTTCTTTATCCAATTGAAGTAGAAGCTCCAAGTCCTGAATTATATAAATTCCATGGGAAAATGTAAGTTATTATCATATTAATCTAACTTGATATTTGTTGTAATAATAGTTAAATAGTTCAGTTTATAACCGAAGATTTTATCTGTTTCATCAATTTGATATTCTTTAATGAGTTTACTTTATTAGAAGGTGAATTATTCACTTATTGTTTGAGATCAATCTAATGACATCAGTTCAGGTTGGCGAAAAAAATAGGGTAATTGAGATGGTGGAGAAAGTTTGTAGCTCAGATGGATGATTTTGATGAAGTTTTGTTCTCTGAGCTAGATGTTTGGTCATGGAGTTTTCATTGTTCGTCTGAACGACATCATCAGCACAAACTTCAGGTAGAAGTCAACTCTATATTTGTATAAGTACTAGTGTATTTCCATTATCTATTTTAAAGCTTTCATAATTCAAATTAATGTGATTTAGATATACAATGTGTGATTGATGACTGACTCATAACTTAACTATATAACATTACAAACTGTCAAGAATAAGATTTTAAAACCGATGAGGACAAAAGTAAGTTGAAGTCGTATTTTGAAACAGAAAACCAATAGAAGAGTAATTTCCAGTTCACTGACTTTAAAGTCATTTATTTTTAACGAGAAATTTAGCATATGATCAGGAGTATGAAAATGTTTCACTCATTAAATACCATAATACATCTGTAGTTTTTGATCAAGATCATGAAACAATTGATGTTTGACCACCATTAAAAACCTGGAAGCACTGGACGGTTGTTTCATCCTATTGTGGGACTCCTCAGTAGTGTGCATCCACTATCCCACGGCCGTCTAGTGCTTCCAGGTTTTCAATGGTGGTTTGACATCAATCGGTTCATGATCTCAATCAAAAACCTAATAATTTTCACATTTCTATACTGATCTGTAGTTTTAACTAGGAAATAAGGTTCCTTATTGATGTGTTGGGAATGTTGGTAAAGGCCTTATGTTTGTAATGCTATTTTAAAAATTTGAATATCTTGTTTTCGTGCCAAAAACGCCCATTTCCACCTTCATGTCGTATTTCCCACTTGGAAGGATCGTAAACGCAATCGGTTCGTTGTATCTTTTAGTATGCTATTTTGTAACACTTCCCAAGGACATTTTTATGCTGTACATATTCGCTTGATTTGTGCTTGTTGTTGGTTGTTCGTGCTTCTGGCTGCTTCTGGAATATATCTGCTTATTTGAACGTGGATTTCTCACTCTAGTTAGCGGTGCTGGGATGCGTTGGAATAGCTAGCTTATCTGCTATTGTGTCACAGAGTCTTCATTCCGTTCTCAGATTAGGTGAACTTGTAATCTCTTCAAACATAGCATGATATAAGTTCAGTGTTCTTGTGAATATGATTATGTTTTTTTCCTTCTTTTGTCCTTGAAACAATGAATGAACATTTTACTCAATTTATCGAATTTGGTTGGAAGAAAGCTAGGGGCTGCCAGACCAAAACATGGCACAGATCCATGAAGTCACTGATAAGTGGACTGAGCCATGTTGGTAGGTGTAGACTACCTGGTTGTGATCCGCGAGGTGATAGCAACCGATGGTTAGAGATCTTGAATAAAATGGCTCAGGTGCATACACTCTTTGAGTTCTCTTAAATTCTAATCTTCTGAATTCTTCATGTCCCTTTCTTTTTTCTCTTTCCAAATTTATTTCACTGGATTATACTTCTTGAATAACATCTTCAAATCCTAATCTTTACGATTACTGCTTATACGCTATTGCGATCATGAACCGATCTAAGTTAGATCACCACTTAAAACCTGGAAACACTGGACGGCCGTGTCGTCGTAGTATGGAACTGTTCAGCAGTGAGCATCAACGACTCATTGGTCTAGAGGATAGGCGATCGCGCACGAGACCGAAGATCCGGGGTTCGATTCCCTTGCCTGAAGTCATGGATGCGCATTGCTGATGAGTCCCATACTAGGTCGAAACAGACATCTAGTACTCCCATGTTTTCAATAGTGGTTTTACTTAAATCAGCCCATGATCTCAGTGGATATTTTACATACTTTGATGAATAAGTTTGATTTTGAAACTCCAAAAGGAAGCTTAGTGACCAAGAGAATGATTAACATATTCAACACAGTCATTAAGATTATTTGTCATATATATGCTTTGGTACGGCCGAGAAGGGTAGAGTCAGCTCTCACTCTCGAAATACTCTCATATGGTTACACGTATACAGCCACTATCAGCGAATTCCTATTCACTGCTTTCTCGTGGGGTGATGTTGTTTGAGAAATTGAGAAGACGAAAAGCAAATGTTCAATGCTTTAACCAGGTTGGTGGATATGGAGAGTCCACATAGGGAAGTTGGAAAACTCTGATTCCAAACCAATGATGCACATGGACTCTAGTATCCTGAAACATCAAATGGCGTATGAATCAATCAATGGTCATCGGCTATCATGGGACTGCATCTCCTAACATTGTTCCACTGACTTGTAGATCAGACCTTTAGATTGAAAGTTTTATGTGTGGTACCGTAAGAAAACCACCTACTTCAGTCTGGGTATCCGGACAGTATCCCAGCCGTCACACAAATCGAATGACGAAGTGTGGCGCATATTTATTTGTTACCTCCTTGTACCAATGTTTATATGTTTAAATAAATAAATAAATATTATCAGAAGGGGTTTGTGGAGATTTTAGAAATTTCACAGATTGAAATCATGAGTCAGTTGAAGCTAGACCACCATGGAAAACCCGGAAGCACTGGACGGCCGTTTCGTCCTAGTATGAGACTCCTCAGCAGTGCGCATCCACGATCCCGCACCCCGCGCAATCCATAGTGGTCTAGCTTCAACTGACTCATGATTTCAATCTGTGAAATTTCTAAAATTTCCATAAACCCCTCCTGATAATAATCATCTGCTTACTAGTGACTGACTTCAAGAGATGCTCCTGGAGTTCTAGTGGGAACCAGTTACCAGTGGAGTTCAGTCAGTTCTGTTGTGAGATATTAGCTCACTGAAGACAATGGTATACGGTGGCGCAACTTCGTGGATTGGTTGAAGTTAGACATTAACACCGTTGGACGCCGGCCCAGTGGTCTAATGGTTAAGTGCTCACGCGCGAAACCAGTAGGTTCTGTGTTTGAATCACGCGCGGTGCTGGATCATGGATGCGCACTGCTGAGGAGTCTCATACTAGGACGAAACGGCCGTACAGTGCTTCCAGTTTTTCCATGGTGGTCTAGCTTCAATTGACTCATGATTTTAATCTGTGAAATAAATAAATAAATAAACATATATATTAACTCATTTTCATTTGCTTAATTTTATTATATTTCAATCAGGTTAATATTAATAGCAATTTGCTCTTATATAATATGTATAGAATGTAAATATATATTAACTAGTGTCTTTGCATTTGTTCTACTATGATTTCCCTTTCAAGTATACTACCAGAAATACGTATTCCTATTCACAAGAATAATATGTTACTAAGAGGTTGTGTATTACGTAATACGGACTATGTGATAGGTATTGTTATCTATGCAGGTAAGTTTCATGTTAATATATCTATGTGTTAATATAATTATATACATATCAATAATCATTTTTTAAGTAGTCATGTTTACTTCTCATAAAGTTTTATTCCAAATATGATGAGTTAATCAAATATCGTTTACTTTAAGTCCTGGCCTAAATAATTCATGGAAACGAAAATAATCAAAATATGACATCTAAACACCTACAGAAGTACCATTTATCTTATATTCTTTTAGTTATTTAGATGAGACTATAATCTATGGACGACCTATAAGCGATGCTAAAGTGATCTTGAGAGTGTCTACCTACTTACTAGGACTAAATGAGGATTATAAAGCTGTTTGTACAATAAGGATTATGATTCACAATTGATGGTTAGAGTTAAGAATTAGATTTAGGGTTTTCATTACGATCTGACATCAATTATAATACCAAGACTCTATTTAGCTAAATTGATGAATGAATTTCGCGACAAAATCTAAGACCTGTTATTGTAAATTTGATTAGTTCGTCCATAAACTATAGTCTTGCCGTTATCTGTTGATAACACTTTCCTCATCTAAATTTCCAAGGGTTGAACTTTTACCGGGAGATTCACTTTTTCACCTAGAATATGCCGATGACATAGTTCTATTTGGTGAAGACGCTGACAAAATTCATAGTCTTCTGACCACTCTAAGCGACAATGCAAGCATGTTCCCTCGAAATGCGAAATGTTGCTTCAGAATTAGGTTGCATCGACACTCGAACTAATGATAGGGAGTGAAGTAGTTGAGCATGTCGACCGCTTCACTTATCTTGGAAGTCTCATCAGCCCTTGTGGTCTGGTGTGTGACGAAATCTCAGCACGGATACAGAAGGCTCGACTAGCTTTTGCCAACTTGCGTCATTTATGGCGTAGGCGAGATATCCGTCTATCAACCAAAGGACGTGTTTACTGCGCAGCAGTTCGTCCCGTCCTTCTTTATGGCAGTGAAACATGGCCGGTAAGAGTAGAGGATATTCATAGGCTACTAGTATTTGATCATAGGTGTCTTCGAAACATTGCTAGTATATCCTGAGACCATCGAGTAAGTAACGCGGTTGTTAGGAAACGGGTACTAGGTAAGGATGGAAAATCAATTGATGAGGCAGTGAAACTTGATCTGTTGAAATGGCTGGGACACGTGTTACGTATGCCCATCGACCGACTGCCTCGACGTGCTATGATTTACGGTGTAGGTTGGAGGAAAGCTAGGGGCGGCCAGACCAAAACATGGCACATGTCCATGAAGTCACTGACAAGTGGACTGAGCCATGTTGGTAGGTGTAGACTACCCGGTTGGGGACCGCAAGATGATAGCAACCGATGGTTAGAAACCCTGAATGAAATGGCTCAAAATCGTTTGCAATGGCGCGGGTGCATACACTCTTTGAGTTCTCCTAAATTCTAACCTCCTGAACCCTTCTTGTCTCTATTTTTTTCTCTTTCCAAATTTATTTCACTGTATTATACTCCTTGAATAACATCTTCAAACCCTAATGTTTCCGATTACTGCTCATACTCTTACCGCCTCTACCAATACGGGATTTGAATCGACAACAGCATCTCTGTGCTAATGTGATATGGCAACTCGAACTAATGTACGTACGTACGAAGTTCTACTTTGTTACTGACTGACTGACTGATCTGTTGATAAAACATTTTTTATACAATAGAATACTTCTGCTTTTAAATGGCAATGAAAAAGATGTTTCCTTACAATTAAGCCGTACTAAGCTAAGTTTCGATATGTTTCCCAGGGGTTTCTTGTTTTTTTTTGCAACTAATTTTATGATGATGTCAAATAAATTTTAAGCAATAATTACTGTAGAATTGAATAATCACTTAGTAGTGAGCAATGGGATGTTTGTTTTGGTCAATAGTTCTAATGGAATTCTATCTATAAATTTACTACATAGCCACTAGTCTAAGTGGATTGACATCGCATGCAATTTCTTTTAAAGAGTGTATACACGTAACATTATTTACTATTCAGTGATTAGTTAATTTGAACATCGCAGTTCTATGAGAGGTCATTTGCTGATCGAATATCTTGATAGTAATATCTCAAACTATAGAACTAGATAAGACAGGTTTGAATCCTACGGGGAATGTTAGTTTTTTCAAGGTTCCAAGGATGATCAAAATAACTTAACATGAAACCCAAATCCAGGGTTTCCTCCCGACTACCTCCAAATATCAAAATTCTTTCTATTCTTGGTGAAACGGTTTTATAGATATTTGTTTAATTAGTAGGTTGTATTCGCCATAGATTGATTTCAGTTTGGATACCACTGAAAGTCAGGAAGAACTACCTAATTGTTTTGTCTTGGTACACATACACTTTCACCAGTAGTCGAATTCAGGACCTTCAGGTTTCACACCAAACGCCTAACCATTAAAACCACTAGGTTGTCGACATCCAATAATACAATTCCAACTTCCATGAACTTGCCTTATAGCACGGTTATAATCTAATGTCATTGATGATTGTTTGATTGACTCATATGACTAATATTAGGCATAAATAAATGTGGCATAACTATCTTAAAACCTGAGAGTTTTGAATATCTTAATGGGCATACATATTTGCCTAACTCAAAGATTCTATTTTATTCATTGTGATGAGATAATTCTTAAATGATCCTAAACTGGGATAAACAAATGGTGAATACTATTTAGATTTATGTAACTATTTGAGATTTAAAAAGGATTTTTGGCATGTATTTAAATTGATTGGGCAACTACAAAAGAGATCGAGGCATCTGACATTCGTTTCCTTTCATTTAAGATACCATTGTAGTGTTCATTCACAGTGTGGTAAATATGGAAAAGCAACGTAAGTTAATTTTAATAAATATTTCGGAAGATACAATATAAATTTCTAATCCAAAAAGAAGTCTACAGTTTCCAATTTTAAAATGTGCTTAAGAGCAATTATAAACCACAACATAGCAAGTACATTAATATATCGTGATTAAGAGGCATCTTTTTCACTTACGCCTCTTACTCCTAATGCAGCATAGGCCGCGTACCAGCATTCTTCAACCCTCTCTGTCCTAGGCCTTCTTTTCTAATTCCATCCAATTCTTGTTCATTTTTCTCATATATGTCTCCGTTTCTCGGCGTAATGTGTCCTTTGGTCTTCCACTCCTCATTTGGTCTTGGGGATTCCATGTGAGAGCTTACCTTGTGACACTGTTGGGTGCTTTCCTCAATGTGTGTCCTGTCCAATTACAGCGTTTCTTCCTGATTTCTTTCTCTTCTGGGATCTGGTTTGTTCTCTTTCACAGTAGGTTCTTACTGATAGTGTAGTGTCTGGCCAACGGATCCGAAGTATTTTGCGTAGACAGCTGTTAATAAACATTTGTATCTTGTGGATGGTGGCTTTCGTAGTTGTTCAAGTTTCCACCCCATACAGTAGAACTGTCTTGACATTTGTATTGAAAATCCTGACCTTGGTGTTGGTTGACAGTTGCTTTAAGTTCCAGATGTTCCCCAGTTGTAAATATGCTGTTCTTGCTTTTCCGATCCACGCCTTCACATCTGCATCAGATCCACCATGTTCATCAATGATGCTGCCCAAATATGTAAAGGTTTTTACATCCTCCAAATCTTCTCCGTCAATTGTGATTGGATTAGTGCATGCTGTGTTGTATCGGAGAATCTTGTTTTTCCCTTTGTGTATGTTGAGACCTACTGTTACTGAGGCTACTGCTACACTGGTTTTTTTCTCCTGCACTTGTTGTTGCGTGTGTGATATAAGAGCCAGGTCATCTGCGAAGTCTAGATCGTCCAACTGCATCCTAGATGCCCACTGTATGCCGTGCTTCCATTCAGATGTTGATGTCTTCATGATCCAGTCGATCACCAGGAGAAAGAGAAAGGGTGAGAGTAAGCAACCTTGCCTAACACCGGTCTTCACTTCGAACGAGTTTGCCAACTGTCCTCCATGCACGATTTCGCAGTTTAATCCATCATAGGAATTCCGTATGATGTAGACTATCTTCTCAGGTGTGCCGTAGTGTCGAAGAAGCTTCCATAGTGTTTTCCTGTCCATGCTATCAAATGCTCTTTCGTAGTCAATGACGTTGATGTAGAGTGATGAATTCCATTCAATCGGATGTTCCACAATGATCCGTAGAGTTGCGATTTGGTCTGTACACGATCTATCCTTACGGAATCCTGCCTGTTGGTCTCGAAGTTGGGCGTCTACGATTCAGAAGTATAGAGTATTTGTATTCATTGTATACTGAACAAATGACTATAATCAAACATATTCGGTCTCGTAGTGAGTACATTTCAATGCAATAAGAGGATCCAGGTAATCACACTTTCAAATATCACTAATTTTATGACACCACAATCATTATCTAGGGTTATTAATGGGCCTCTCTTTTCATTCAAAAATGAATTGACATGTTTTTCCTTTGAGAGTTGTAAACGTTTCAGTGTTATGAGCGCCGTTAGCTCCGATATTGAGCACTTCTGTGGAGTTCGAGACTTGGAATAAATGAGTATGCAACATTTTTTGTTGTTGACATTAAACATTTGTACAGATGGAGTTGAACTTTAGTATTGACCATGTTTACATCATTCAAAACTTTTCAAATTCTATCACTGGGTGAATATTTTGAACTAAAAACCTAAACATTGTATATGTAAGTGATTAATATATGAAAAGTATTTAATAATAGCCTTGTCTACTTCCCAGCTTTGATGGAATTCTGTCAGTTATATTACAATGTGGACATTGCATAGTCAATCATTTTAAAACATTTAATGCTAAAAGAAGTCAGTCATAGACCATTAAATGCTATGGTACGGCCGACGTTGGAAAGAGTCCTCTCTCTCTCTCTTGAAATGCTCTCACATGGCCACGCGTATACAGCCACTGACAGGAAAATCCCACTCACTGCTTTCTCGTGGCGGAGGTGTTGTTAAGGAAATTTAGAGGAGAAAAGAAAATGTCCGGCGCTTTAACCGGATTGGTGAACACGGAGGATACACCTAGGGGAGTTGAAAAACCCTGATTCCAAATCAATTGCTCTAGGATCTTGAAGAAACGGCGTATGAACCTATTGTTGGTCACCGGCTACTATGTGGCTACGTCCTCTGACGTTGCATCACTCCCTTATAAATTAGACTTTTATTTCAAAGGCTCGTGGAGTGGCCCTCTAAAATAACGACGTGCTTCGATTTGGGCTCCCGGGCAGTGTTCCAGCCTTCACACAAATGAATGATAACTACTACTGACCTCATTGTTATTGTGTGGCGCATATGTATTTGTTGCCTCCTTCTACCACTATTTATGTGTCCAAATAAATAAATAAATATAATAAACAACTCATCAACAACATTTTTAACTGTAATCGTAATTGCTGTAGATTTGAGTCTCATACAGAACATAATTCCTTTCAAGATTGTCGATAAATCACAATGACAGTTGACAATAGATACAAAATCAATCCTCATCGATTTTTTCCTATTGACCTCCAACTACTTAACAACAATCCTTGATTTCAATAAGAGATCACAAACCCTCAAAGCATAAGTTAATGGTTCTTACCACCTACTGTTTTTTTTTCTTAAAAAAACAAGCAAGCAAACAAACAAATCATATCATTCATTATTTATCATAGAAAAGTTAAAAGGTTCGAAGTTACTAGGTAGGTAGGTAGGTATTTATTGATTTTTACTTGACTTTCATTTCGATGTTCTCTGAACTTTAGTGCTTAATCTATAGAGTATTTATCAATCGATTATGTAATTTAAGTTCACAATCAATTCATTTTCTCTTTTTTTCGTTGGGTTGTTTCAAAATATGTGAGCAAACAAATCATCGAATTTAAATCATATCATTTCTAAGTCAAAAATGATCTCTCTTTTATTATTTTATATCATATGCTGGGTTTATTTTGACAAACACTAGAATTAAGAAACATTAGACAGCTGTTTCGTCCTAGTTCGAAACCCAACAATGGGTAAGAGGTCGACTCCCTGATTTTCAAGCATCGAGGTGAACGTTTAAGTTTTATATTACTGAGTCTGCATTCAATTTGTTTACATTTTTAATTTTAGTCAGTTCACGATATTGTACAATTATCATTCATTGTCACTGATCTTATCAATGCCTGATGATAACAAACTTAAAATAATATCCGATTAACTGTGTTATAACTGGTCGCCGATGATTGTTGTGTCGGAAAAACGCTGATCACTTATACTAGGGACCTCTGCAATTCCCACGACGCGAATGTAGTAACACAAAGACTGGTATAAGTCAAGATTTATTAGCTCCAAAACATTATGACGACGATGACCGTAGTCTAAAATACACTCATTTATATATTGATTGTACACCCATTTTGATTAATAAATAGGATGAAATCACATATATGAAAAATACTTCGAGTTACATCAAATCACATATAGGGCATAGTTTATGTCAACTGAATACAAGAATATCGTATATTATAGAGAATAAAAAGATCATATGGGGAAACAAAAACGAATACTCCACTGAATGATCATCACATTGAATCAGAACGGAAGTAATTTTGAACTAAAACTCATGATGAGTAAATCAATCCAAAACTGGCTTTTCTTTCCATCATATCAAACTGACAGTCATCTTATCAATCATCATAGATATGTAGTGGTAATATACATTTTTAAATCAAAAAAGAATTTTTTCCTTCTGGTTAGCGTTTTTTTAGCGAGTTATTTTTCTACGGGATAGGGTAGCTAACCCTATGCCCAACCCTCCTCCTTTATCCGGTCTTGGGACCAGCAGTAGCCCTCGGAGGGACTCCAGGCGGAGTTAAAAAGAATTTTACTCAATAAAATTTTCTAATGTTCATATTCTATTTAAGGTTGTGAAACAAAGGCAGCTTTGAATAATTCTGGTGTTCGATTCAAAAGAAGTAAACTGGAAAAACAAATTAATTTAGATGTTATATGGTGTGTACTTATTCTAGTTGTAGTCTGTGTCACTGGAGCCATTGGTAAGTAAATGGTGACAGGCATAAGTTTACTTTATTTCGATAACTCACACAATTGGGATAATAAGTTAATTGTAAATACATTATTAGTTTATAGCAATAATATCATAATTTGTATGACTGACCAGAAAACATGATGATATTGCAAAATTTTTGTTTATCATTAAACCATTAAATGGGAAGTGACCATAAGTTTCATATATCTGCGTTAAAGGTTTATATTGAACCATTTCGATCATCCTTCTTTGTTGAATGTGTCGGGGAGTTCCAAAATATGCTTACGAAACATCTTATCTAACCAGTGTTGAATAGAAGCTTTTAGAAAACAAAGAGCCATGGGTCACATTTTTGATTGGATGTTTATCTACGCTACTATTATATTCAGTATGTTTCTTCTCTAGGCTGTTTAATTCTATCTAAACATAGCTATGCTTAAATATAGATATTATTATGAGATATTAAAATATTTTATTTGATTACTGTAGAAAGTAATTACTTATACTCTATGTTATCAGTATAGGAGATTTCTGGAGAGTGTAATATTTTCACAGTTGAAATCATGAGTCGATCTAAGCTAGACCACTATTTAATATCTGAATGCACTGGAAAGCTGTACTCACTAGTGACTAGTTTCATAATGCAACTCTTGGACTTCCAATTAGAATCTGTGACCAATAGAGTTCAACTATGTCGGATGTGAGATAGTTATCCACCTCAAGTAAATGGATGAAGGGTTTGACAAGATCATGACTTGATTGAAATTAGACATGAACACGATCGGATTGTGATTGAGGGGTGTAGATGTTGATCGTTCTCGGATGAAACTGAAAGTACTGAGTTCGATTCGCTTATGTGGGATCATGTATACACACTGCTGAAGATTTTGTTACTAGGACGAAATGGTTGTCCAGTACTTCAAGGTTTTCGATAAGAGTCTAGCTTAGATTAACTCGTAATTTCAATCGTGAAAATATACTGTATGTGTTGAGATGGTAAAGATTAATCACTTAGAAACATGAAAGCTTTACGTGAATAAATCACTGAGGATACAGAAAGTATTTTCAAAAAATCGTATTTTTTGTTTTTGTTTTAGGTAGCGCTGTTTGGCATCAGAATTTACCAGGCGATGATGTATTGTTCGTTGCACTTGACAGAAATTCTTCAACTTCAACACCTGCTTATCAAGGTTTTCTCAATTTTTGGAGATTTGTAATCATTTTTCAAGTGAGTTAATCGCATTAGACAAGTTTCAGTAATTATTCATAACAATATGTAAAGAAAGATTGACAACAAAAGCGCTATATATATATATATATATATATATATATATATATATATATATATATATATATATATATATATGGGCTAATAAGAACAGCCTGAACAGAAAGGATGGTATCCAGCTAGCAATTACTTAACAAATGTTCGTTAATAAGTAATTGAACTCTCTTTACCCAACATGTTTATTCCAACCATCAACTTACACTTTTATTTTTACTTCTAACTCAATCTTATACATACTTACATATACACACACACAATCATTCATTCATTTATTTTCACATTGTGAACGTTTCACATGATCCACATATCATTGACATGTTATCCTATTTACTAAAGTCAACATATAAATATGATTGGATTAGCCCAGTATAAATTTGATTTGATTGTTACAACGCTATATATTTCTTTGATAATCTTAATTTCGACTATTACTCTGAAGAAGTTCAGACAAGTTTATTGGACGAAACATTGGAATTATTTAAATTTCAATCGCTAAGATTATTTAAAATAAAATTTTCATATATATATATATATATATATATATATATATATATATATATATATATATATATATATATATATATATATATATATATATATATATATATATATCATGAATTCTCTATACTCGGCGCCCAATTTTCGTCAAACTCTTCGTTTGAATATTTTAATTAGTCTTTGAAATAACTTTCAAATTTATCGAATTTCTGTAATTCAGCCGTGACCAGTGGAGCTAATCCTTGTCGGGTAGAAACAGGTGTCTACTTCAGTACAATGCAAGATGGTTGCGCAATTTCGTGGATTGGTTGGGCTTAGAAATTAACACTGGATGCCGACTCAGTGGTACAGTAGGTTAGGCGTTAGAATCCAGCGAGCGGGATCATGGATGTGCACTGCTGAGGAGTTCCACAGTAGGACGAAACGGTCGTCCATTGCTTCCAGGTTTTCAATGGTGGTCTAACATCAATCGGTTCATGATCTCAATCAAAGCTTAACAATCTCCACATCCCCTATACTGATAACAAAAAATATAGTTTTAGAAAGTCAATTTCACACTTCAGATTTGAATTGTATTCAAGTCAACGCAGGTTGTGCAACCGGGCCGTAGTATTATTGTGGTTAATGCTACTCACAAGATTGCTTACAAGTATTTTTTTAGTGGAACGTCACTTGGTAGTTGTAATAGACGGCAGCCGTAGTGAAAACTTTCAGGAGATTGAAAAGCGCCAGCGTAGGCAGAATACTTTAGAGACTTGAATAAAAGCAAGAGAAGACAATCTAGAACCAACTCGGATTGCATGATACAATAGGATACCAATGGATGCACATATTGCATAAACATTTTGTTGTTTCACTACATAAACATTCCTTCTACCCAGTGTCTTGTCCTACATTATCGGATGAACTTTGGGAAATCTGAAACTTTCTCGGATATTTTTCGGATTATTATTACTTATATCTTCATTGTATCAATTATTAGATAATTTATGGTTGGATTTCTATAATACTCTTACTTAAGCTTTCGACTGTCGCTATACATTTTATTATCCCTTAGTTATTTTTAATTATATATGCGTTTCCTGGTTAGATACTGAATTAGTTGGGACTTGAGGACCAATAAGTGTTAGGTCCTTGGATATGGTTCATTGATCGGTATATCAGTTCTTGTAATAGAAGGTAACTGCCCTACTGACTACCATAGATTGCTGATAACAAGTAGTATTTCTAACCTTTTCAGAAGTGTATAGATAATAGCTGAGTATAAGACTTAAATTAGTTGGATGATCATTTTCATTAGTACTATTCCTTACATGAAATTAATAGAAATTAGAATCTTAACCAATATATGTACGTTTCATCGTTCAACCTTTTCATCTTAACTTATTCAATCTTTTTATATATATAGAGAGTTCTTAATCTTGAGGAGTTTCAGAAAAGAAGAAAACACTCTTCTTGTAATTTGATCTTATCTATGCTAATAAAAGAAACTAACGGAAATGGCTATTACAAATTAGTCACCGAACGTTCTAATTAATAACTGAAAAACATACACAGTAAATAACCTAACATGTAATCTCCGCCTATAGACATTTTGATTACTCCTGCGGCTGTGGTCGAAACTGTGCATTCATGTTTTGTCGTATATGAAATCCTTCAATTTCAATTATCATTCAATATTTTAATATTCGTTTTCAGATTCTGTGGGCAACATTCCACTATTCAAACGCCTGTTATTCCTCATGGAGGAGCATAGGCCGCCCACGAGCACTTTCCATCCAATTCTGTCCTGGGGAATCCTTTCCAGCTCTTTCCAGTGGCTATTCACCTTAACCTCCTAGGCTTGCTAAATATGTTTCTGATTTAAAACAGAGAATCAATAGACGATGGTGATCATTTATAACCAGAATTTAAAACTAATTTCTTGATAAAGCATCTTTGAGTCAACATCAATGTTGAGCACTTACAAACTATTTATTCTGTGGATTTATCCACGGCTACAATTTAATGCTTTACATTTCTAACTCCAGTTGATTTCCCATATTTTGTGACCACTTTTTTTTCATTTCTATTGGTGAGTAACTGCCTCATATCTAACATGGTTAGACTCTAGTAGTCATACCTTCCCACTAGGACTAAAGGTTAAATCTCCTATGCGTCGTAGATTCTCACTGCTGAGGAGTCCCATACCAGGACGAAGCAGTTGTTAGTGCTTCCTGGTTTTCACTGATGGCCTAGTTAAGATCAGCCCATGATGTAAGGTATTAAACTCTATAATCTCCCCGACCACCTTGTATTGATAATAACGAACGTTATTTTAGGCCTTAGTGTTTGTTAAATCCAATCGATTAGACTGGAACGGGGTCACTTGTTCAAGCGAACTAACACCTAAACACATTTCTGTTGATGTTGAATGACTAGAGAGAACTGAATTTCGTGATGGTTAGCCCTTATCAACTTGACAAACCTATCTTATTAAAGGAAGTTTCGCTTCTCTTTGGAATCAAACACTTCTTACCCAATGTTATAGGTGAGTGGTAACACCTACTGTAATACAAATTAAAACGGATTCGAATGATCAGGGAATCATTTCACGCCGTGCTGACGAATGTCAACCACCTCAAATCCTGTTTAATTTTTCCCATTGACTAATTCCTACCATTTAACATTAATTCGATTATGTAGACAAATTCTTCTAATTCAATGGATATATTGATTACTAATTTAATCATTTGTCTTTCAACTATTGTGTTATATGCTAAATCTTGCTTCGTCTATTTTGTTTTTGATGTATGGTTAATATCATTAACTTTTCATATAAGAAGTGTGATTTTAACTGTAAAAATACTGCAATCTCCACAAAATCCCCAATGCTAATAACAATCATTTGCTCACTAGTGACTAGTTTTATGATATAACTCTTGGATTTTCAGTGAGAATCTGTAACCAATGGAGTTCAACGATGTCGCATCTGAGCTAGTTATCTACCTCGATCAATTGATTGAGGGTTGGACAAGATCGTGAATTGATTAAAATTAGACATGAACACCATCGGATACCGGATGATTGGTGTAGATGTTGAACGTTCTCATATATGACCGAATGTATTGAATTCGATTCGCTTATGTAGGATCATGTATTGACACTGCTGAAGAGTCTCATACTAGAACGAAACATACAGGTTTTCAATAATGGTCTGGTTAAGATCAGTTCATGATGTAAACTATGAGAACTGTATAACCTCCTCAAAATCCCCAATACTAATAACAAAAAAATTTGACCTGAAGTTAAATGACATTGACCTGGTAGATTGGTTACTAATTTAAGTATTTTTTCTATTCTATTTCTCTACTCCTGTTTATTATGATATTTGTATTGTATTGTATTGTTTGTTTGTTTCTCTAATAGACTATTATACCGTTACCATTGTATGTAACAATTGAATTTGTTAAAATGCATCAAGTATGGCATATGAATAATGATTTACAATTATATGATAGTAATTTAGATAGACGTATTGAAATACGTACATTTAATATTCCTGAAGATTTAGGTCAAATTGAATATGTATTCACTGATAAAACAGGTACATTAACAGAGAATAAAATGGAATTTAAACGTGCCAGTATTAATGGAAAAGATTATCATACAGATGATGGTTAGTTGATTTATGATTTATCATTTATTATAATTGAATATGTTTTTCCTTTAATTGATCTGATCTATTTTTATCAAAATATCATGAGTCAATTGAAGCTAGACTATCATGCAAAACCTGGAAGTACTGGGCGACCATTTCGTCCTATTGTGAGACTCCTCAACAGTGCGCATCCATGATCCCGCCTTGTGAGATTCGAACCCAGAACCTATCGGCCAGGACGAGACGGTCGTCTAGTGCTTCCAGACTTTCCGTGGTGGTCTAGCCTCAATTGAATCATGATCTCAACTATTAAAATTAATATAATATCAGTAATATATATGTATAACAATATTTTGTTGATGTAACTAGTTAGTTTGATAACTGATTGCAAATTCTTGTTTTTAACTTAGAGACCTTTAGCTTTCTTGGAAAACATGATACAATTTAAGCAATGAGTTAGAAACATGGTGTTTTAATCTTTGACTTCAGTAAACTTCAGAATTTCGAGAAATCTGTTTTCCAAGCTATTTACATAACCATAAATGAGTATTATCAGGTGATTAGGTTCTGTATAGATGTATTTTTTCAAGATACTTTGAACATAAATCACATCATCAGTTGGACTTACAAAAGTTACGTAAAATCTGTGATAATTAGTCGGGTTATGTACACATTATTGTAAAACCAATAAGACTAAAGATAGCGGCTACTGGATTTTAGCGCGATAGTGAAAAATATGATAACGAAAAAGCTTTTATTTAACTGAATACTAAACAAAACCTACCAATATTTATAAGCAAAGATAGATGGTGGCTAGTAGTGAAATTCAGAACGTGTGTTTCAACCTATTTGGGACTCGTCATCTGGATGTATCTGCACTTCAAAGTTGATGTTCATTCTGGGACTTGAACCCAAATAGGACGAAACGCGCGTCCTGGATTCCATTGCTAGCCACTATCCATCTTAGCTTATAATGCTTGTGACTTAAGTCAATATCGAGGAAATTCGCACAATATGCACATATACCAATATGAGACTGATCAATTGCAGTTCTGAACAACAATGGGGAGATACATGTAAACAACACTAAGTGAATCTAACAATATTCAGTTTCTGTGATTTTTAAAGATTGATAAACATGATTGAACTAAGGAATAGGAACCATGGTTTATCAATTTGTGAGGGTAATTTAAAAAAGGTTTCGCTATTTTAAGATCAAAGAATTGACTGCGTAATTATTCGTCTGTATTAATCACAAGGTATTCATCTATTTCATCTCGAACCAATGCTCTACCCAGACTCCTGACCCTAAAACCTAACCCTGAATCTAAATCTGAATTAAAACGTTTAAACCAAACCGTAGCTTGTTATAAGTATTTTATGTAATAGATTATTCTTATTATTATTATTACTTGCATTCTGATTGACTGAAAAAATTCCCTGAAAGTCGATAGTCAAGTATACTTTTGCCAAAAAGTGTAATGAACAAGTTTCTATATAAAAGTATTACCAAAATCTGTATATGAATAGAGGGATGCTAGATATGATAAATAACCATAGACTCATTGTCTATTAAAGATTACTAATTAAATTGTATGATATTTTTAAGAATTGAAGATGCGCTAAAATAACCTTCAGCTTTTTAATACAATGAACATCCAAATAGAGTTTATCGAGTATACTCCTCGGCAGTTCGTTCTGTTTTACTTTATGGCAGTGAAACGTAGCCATTAAGAGTTGAAGACACTCGTAAGCTACTAGTATTTGACCACAGATGCCCTAGAAGTATTGCTGGCGTCTGCTGGGATCACCTGGTAAGTAATAGTGAGGTTAGACACAGGGTATTAGGGAATGATAGTAAATCAGTTGATGAGGTTGTGAGTCTTCATCGAGTGAGATGGTTGGGCCACGTGTTACGTATGCCTGAACTCCGATTACCACGACGTGCAATGCTAATCGGTGTTGGAGATGGTTGGACGAAAGTTAGGGGCGGCCAAACCAAAATGTAGCATCAGTGCTTGAAGTCACTAACTTCTAGTCTGAGTCATGTTGGTAGATGCAGATTACTTGGTTGGGGTCCTCATGACTATCGTAACCAATGTTGGAGACTCTAGATGGCACAGCTGAGAATCGATCACAATTGCGTAGGTGTATACACTCGCTGTCTTCCCTTAAACTAAGAGATTAAAACCACTTCATATCTTTCTTTCTACTAATTAACTCTTTTTTCTTGTACTATATCCTTGTATGCAATCTTTCTCTTATATATTACCACCTTTGACTTAACCACTCCTATGAATCTGGTGTTCATCTTGCTGTGCTAATGCGGTATGGCAACCTGGACCGATGCATATATGTGCCTGGTCCTACGTTGTAGCTGACTGACTGACTGACAAATAGAGTTTATGAGTATGATATACTCATCAAACATATTTAATACAATCATTGAACTGATTCGTAACCTAATTAAGGTAATACAAGCACTGAGATATTGCTTTGTCAAAAGTAATAAACCAAGATTTTCTTAATCTGAAGCTTGTATTATTGCTTCATACCCCCCATTATTAGACAAAGTATCTTCTAATCAGCTAGACGTAAACCGCTACATATTTTATATAATCAGTTAGTTAAGCATTTATATTTCAAAGAATAAGTGTTAGATTTGCTCTCCATTTCATCTACTTCTACAAATATTTATAATCTCTCACTTTAATGTGTCTTAATATCAGAAGGGATTTTTGTGGATATTATAGTAATTTCAATGGTTGAGATCATGGAGTCAGTTGGAGATAGACAACTATCGAAAACCTCGAAGCACTGGACGGCCATTTCATCCTATTGTGGGACTTCTCACCAGTCTCATCCACGACTTTGCCTCGAGAGATTCGAACACAAGACCTATTAGTCTCGCGCGCAAGCGCTTAACCACTAGGTCACTGAGCCGGCATCTAACGGTGTTAATATCTAACCTTGACTAATCCATAAAATTTGGCGACACATTCATCATTGTCAGCAGTGAGTTCCTATCTTACAACAGACCTGGTTGAACTCCACTGGTGATTGCTTCTCACTAGAACTACAGGATATACCTATTGAAGCCAGTCACTAATGAGCATATGTTGATCAATGTCAGAAGGGGTTTTTGTGGATATTATAGTAATTCAGTGGTTGAGGAGTCCCACAATAGGACGAAACGACCGTCCAATGTTTCCAGGTTTTTCATGGTGGTCTAGCTTCAATTGACTCATGATCTCAACTATTGAAATTGTTTTGTTAAGTAATCCTGTTGTATTTTAAGTTTACTTTAAACTAATACCCTGTATTTTTTCTGTTGCATATCATAGGTGATTATCATGAAAATAACGATCAATTCAGTAATCATTCCTCACCAGTACGTTGTTTTGCACTATCAGGGTGGCTTTTTTACGTTTTGGCTTTTGCACATATTGTGTAGACACTAAGTACATCAACAAATCAATTTCTATTGTTTAAACACTGAGTAGTTAATAATGGGCTGTAACACAATAGTTATTTCCCCTTCAGTATTAGTTTATTAATGAAGATTGGTTATTCCTAGTTTCGGGTACAATTCATGAAGTATTATAAGTGATATATGGATACATGGTATTCCAAAATTTATGGTTTATCGATTATATATCTGTGAGATATGGTCTTTAGCGACCTGCATTGTTGTTTAAACACATAAGGAAATTAGTACAAAGGGCTACCAAAATATATATGCTCCACACAAACTCAATGATTTGTGCATGGGCCGGGATACGCCATGACTGCCCAAATTGAAACAGGAGGTTTTGTTAGGGCGCCACTCCCTAGGTCTTTGACGAAGAAGTGTAATCCGAAAAAAAACGGTGAATCGTCCGGAACATCAGTCTCATGGTACGTGATGACCAAGAAAAGGTTAGTACACCATTTGTTTCCTTAGAGTACTGCTGCCTATATGCACCATTGATTTGGAATTATGATTTTCTGACTCCTCTAGATAGATCTCCATCGTACCTACCAATTCGGTTTAAGCACCGAGCAATCACTTTTTGTCTTCTCAATTTCACAAATAACACACCAGCTGTCTGAATCATGAAAAGTTTGTAAGTATGTGAATAAACATTAGGTTTTCACTTTCCAAATCACACGAAAATTTGTAGATAGATAAGATTGTTAATTATTTTGTCAATTTCACTATCTATCTGTTATAACCATGTATGGTGTATAATGAAAAGTGTCTTATCACTTACACAACAAAATGTTATACTGTAGTGAACAAGAAGACGACTGGGGACAATCAAATTACAGAACATCTCACTAAAATTTGAGAACAATACAGTAAATACTTAATTTGAAAAATATCAATCCATTGTCTCAAACTTGACTGTCTATTCTACAAATATCAGTCCATCGTCTCAGATTTCATTGCTTGTGCATTTTCATATCAATGCTTTCCGTTCTCATACTTTCCTTCTTAATCTTCTACGGAAATACATTCTATTTCTGACCATAGTTTTATACTACTTATATGGATATAAGTAGTTCAAACTACAGTACATCTACCAAGAAAAAGGGATTTATTTGTGTTCCTGAAATGTAAATGCAATTATTTCTAGTTGCCGTCTTTAACTAAAGAACTGAAATTGATATGTACTCCAACTCAAATCAATCCCTAACGAATAAATACATGTTAAGTAAATTAAATTTACAAAGACCCTTAATCAAAACAATCAAATGAACAATCATACCAATTCCATAGTATAAATTGTGTAAATGACTTGAAAGTTCATGAAACTACTTTAATGATAAAAAAATATTTCATGAATTATCAAGTATATAAACGTTTAGGTCATTTTTTAACTAAGAATAGAATTTGATTACAGGTAGTTACATAATAAAATAGTGTAATAAATGAAATCGATATATTCAAGGCAAATGTGATAGAATACTCTTCAGACGATATTGTTGTTTGATTCCTTTTTAACATGAATCATTTCTGTATGTGAAAACACTTTTCAATTACATTTTACACTTAGTTCAAATTACGCATGACATCATAAGTTGTAATAATAAATAATACTTGTAGCTTAACTTACAACTATGTCCCATACTAGAACGAAACAACTCTTCATGCTTCCAGGTTTTCGATGATAATCTGACTTAGACAGGTTCCTGATATCAATAAAATTGAACATCTCCACAATCCTATACTCGAAATGTTTATTGTTATTTAATAGTTACAAAAACGCCGTCTGTAGCTCTTCTAGTGTTACGGCCGGGTCGGGAACCCAACCCGTAAAAAATATCTTGTTAGAAAACGCTAACCAACTCAAATAAATTAAACCATCTGAACTCTTCCCTTCGAATTGAAAATAATAATTATGACACCTAATGATGAAAACAGGGATTCCTAGTAAGTCATAAGGCTCATACCCTTCTAACGACCGGAGCAACAATTAATATAGGTACATGGGATGTCCGGACAATGTAGGGGACCCGAAGGGCCAGTCAGATAGCAGCGGGAATGAGGAGACACAAATTAGAGGTGCTCAAAATCAGTGAAGCTCATTGGACCCAAGCTGGACAGCAGCGGTTAGGTACGGGAGAGATGATGTTTTACTCCGGTCACAAAGATGAAAATACTCCGCACACTTGAGGAGTTGCTCTGATGCTATCCAAAGAAGCATGAAATGTACTTATTGGGTGGGACAATATTCAAGAAAGGAAAAACAAGAGACAGCAATTAACAACAGCCGAACAACAACATAGAAAGTCAAGGCACAGAATGAATACATAGAAGCAAACAAGCACGTAAAGAAAAGCATTAGAGCTGACAAGCAAAAATATATGGAAGACTTAGCAGTGACAGAGTAAAGAACTGCAAGAGAAGAAAATACGAAACAATTATATGACACAACAAAGAAACTGGCACAGAAATATAGTAAATCAGAGAGATCGGTCAATGACAAAGAAGACAAGCCAATCACTGAGATTCAGGAAGAGGGGAGGAGATGGGTGGAATACTTCGAGAAACCCTTGAATAGATCAGATACATTGAATCTAATGAATATCTAAGCAGAACACACAGACCTCCCTATGGATATGATGGTAAGGATTAAGGCTCAAGAATACAATTCGTCGAGATTCAGAAACATGCATGAAATGGATGAATAGTAACTGAAACGAGCTGGAGGGGATCGCTTAGGACAGATTTGGATGGAGAATGCTGGTTAGCGGCCTGTGCTCCTTCACGAATGGTAACAGGGGTAAGTAAGTAAATAATAGTTATAAACTCTAGTTATTCAGATTGTAGTGAATGAACACTTGGTGAGAATAACCAATTTCTTATTTAATGTAAGATCATAAAGTAACTTGGTAAAATACAAAAACCATACATTAAGTACATCATTTCCATTAGTTATCTTTTTCGTAATTTATAATTCCTTCAATTATATTTTTTCATTTCAAATTCTTTGTATTCTCTTCAGTTCGATTTTCTTAGTCTTCTATTCTTAGTCATTCTAGTTCCAATTAGTGTTACATACTACTTATATTTGTCAATATAAGTAGCATACACTACATGATATTACTATTATATTTATTCTATATTCTGTACTTATTTTCAGAAGCATATTGTAACAAATTTAAATACATTACAGAGTATATTAGAGAATAGAACAATTTTTTCTTATCATCAAAAGACTATCAATAATGATATGGAATATTCTGATCATAGTTCCAGGAATTATTATTTCAATACTGATAAAGAAATAAATAATATTGAATTGATTACAATACAACCATCTAATGAGATACCATCAACTAGTCATATTCAAATGGATGATACTAATACTCCATCTTACTATTTATCTCATTCTATATCATCACCATCATCTCAACAAAACAATTTAAATATTGAAAAACAATCGGAAATGAATGAGAAATCTAATAATTTATTACATGAAAAATGTAATTCTATAGAAAACAAATCAAAACCATTAGATAATCAAGTTTTATTAACTGAAGAAATACGTATTCAAGATTTTTTCTTAGCTTTAGCTATATGTAATACAACTGTAGTGTCTGTTACAAAGAATACTCCAACAATGGTAAGTTAACTTGCATTTGTTTATTATATTATATTATATATCTGATAAATGATATATCATAGAAATTTACAGATGCTTTGCTTATTAACATTGGTAATTGCTTACTTACTTACTTACGCCTGTTACTCCCAATGGAGCATAGGCGGCCGACCAGCATTCTCCAACCCACTGTTTCCTGGATCTTCCTTCCTAGTTTTATCCAATGTTTGTTCATTTTTCTCGTCTGTCTTTATTTCTCGGTGTAATGTGTTCTTTGGTCTTCCTCTCCTCATTTGGCCTTGAGGATTCCACGTGAGAGCTTGCCTTGTGACACTGTTGGGTGCTTTCCTCAATGTGTGTCCTATCCACTTCCAGTGCTTCTTCCTGATTTCTTCCTCTTCTGGGATCTGGTTTGTTCTTTCCCACAGTAGGTTGTTGCTAATAGTGTCTGGCCAACGGATCCGAAGTATTTTGCGTAGACAACTGTTAATAAACACCTGTATCTTGTGGATGATGGCTTTTGTAGTTCTCCAAGTTTCCACCCCATACAGTAGAATTGTCTTGACATTTGTATTGAAAATTCTGACTTTAGTGTTGGTTGACAAACAGTTGTTTTGAGTTACAGATGTTCCTCAGTTGTAAATATGCTGTTCTTGCTTTTCCGATCCACGCCTTCACATCTGCACCAGATCCACCGTGTTCACTAATGATGCTACCCGAATATGTAAAGGGTTTTCCATCTTACAAATCTTCTCCGTCAATTGTGATTGGATTGGTGCATCCTGTGTTGTATTGGAGAATCTTGTTTTCCCTTTGTGTATATTGAGACCTACTGCTGCTGAGGCTGCTGCCACACTGTTAGTCTTCTCCTGCATCTGTTGTTGCGTTTGGGATAGAAGAGCCAGATCATCTGCGAAGTGTAGATCATCCAACTACATCTTATATGTCCATTGTATCCCGCGCTTCCCTTCAGACGTTGACGTCTTCATGATCCAGTCGATCACCAGGAGAAAGAGAAAGGGTGAGAGTAAGCAACCTTGCCTAACACCGGTCTTCACTTCGAACGACTTTGTCAACTGTCGTTCATGCACAATTTCGCAGTGTAATCCATCATATGAGTTCTGTATGATATTGACTATCTTCTCAGGTGTGCCGTAGTGTCGAAGAAGCTTCCATAGTGTTGTTCTGTCCATGCTATCAAATGCCTTTTCGTAGTCAATGAAGTTGATGTAGAGTGATGAATTCCATTCAATTGATTGTTCCACAGTGATCCGTAATGTTGCGATGTGGTTGGTACACGATCGATCCTGTCTGTTTGTCCCGAAGTTGGGTGTCTACGGATTCATTCATTCTGTTTAACTATACTCTGAAGTCGCTGGTTTCTCATGAATATTTTTTTAGCATAGAGTTGTGGAGATTGTTAAATTTCATTGAAATTATAATTGATTTAAGTTAGATCTGCATTGAAAACCTGAAAGCATTGGATAAATGTTTCATTTTCATATCTACGCATCTACAATCTCGCTCGCGATCGCTCAACACTGAGTTAGCACACAACGATGCTAATATGTAAAATTTATCAATCCATGACATTGTGCGATCATCTTTCATTGTCTCTGGTGAATAACTACTTCACACCGGACAATGATTTACTCCACTAGTCATAGCTTCTCATTAGAACTCCGCGAATTTTCTTCTCGAGATTACTCACTACAGTGCGCGTGATAATAATACAGGATTGTGGATGGACACTGATGTTTAGTCCCATACTTTGGCAAAACGGCTGACCAGTATTTACATGTATAAAATGGTTGTCTAACTTAGATTGGTTTATGATTTCAATGAAATCTCCATAAACATTTTACTCATGTTTTAACAGTGTTTGTCAACCTGTTAGGATAATTATTTTCTAAATGAAAGAATCTTCAGTGATTACCTGATTACGTTTTTTTATTAGGAATGAAAGCTTCTAAAGGTTTTTTAATCAGAGGATGCTGTGCATTATCAACATACTTGATGTTGCATGGTTACTAATTGACTGAAGTCGCAACTGGAATCTATTGTAAGTTAATACCTTGGTCTTAAGGTAATGAATTCATCATCAGGCTAGAATATATTGGGTTTCTCACTGTAAAGCCGTCAGTTGTCACTACTTTGTAATCTCAAACTAAGACGAAACATTTGTCTAGCAGTATTGTTTAAAGCCATTGTTTAACTAAAATTGGTTTGTGTTTATTATCGTTACCTTCTATATTGCATACTTTGAAATATATATTACTTGTTTATAAATAAGTAGTTCAGATGAGAATTCAATTTATTTTATGATTTATGTTGATTTCGAGATATACGATCGATAATTGACTTCATGAGGTAACGAAATCCGCTAAATGATCAATCGTCATTGTAGTTACATTCAATTTGATTGTTATTGTATCCAGAACTTGTAAATTTTTGAATAGAACTAGGTACTGTGTTTCTGCTTACGTTGAGTAACGGTTTTATATGCGTTCAACTGATTACTATTTTGCTTCGGATTCCTGAACTCATTACTTAAATTTTCATGTTTTCCGTTGCTTTGTTACTATTATGACTGTATGTAGAATTAAGTTAGCCTTTGTTTCTTAACTTTATTTCACTGAAGAAACCAAAATTGCTCACAAGAAATTCGACCAATATTTTCTCTCACCAAACATCCGTTAATAATTTTATCATGAAATCCTTAAGTAGTATCTTTAATTTGAGCAACGACTTGCGAATATGACTCAGGATCAGATTATTTCTACAGGCGTTTTTGAAAGGATTCGTTAAGTTTTAATTGAGATTAGATTAAGTAACTTTTCTTTATCAGAAGTGGTTTTTAATAGTTGAGATCATGAATCAATTGAAGCTCGACCACTATGGAAAACCTGGGAGCAAGGCCGTTTCGTTTCGCCTCTTCAGATTCGAGCCCAGGACTTCTTATTCTGGCGCTCGAGCGCTTAACCCTTAGACCACTGAACGGGCATCCAATGGTGTTAATGTTTAACTTCAACCAATCCACAAAATTGAGCTGAAATTATAATTGAAATTTTTGAACTGTCGACCTCAATCACCAGTGTTATAATGCTGTAGTTAATAGATGATTATTTGCATCGAACGTTCAACCTCTGAGATTGATGCTTTTAGTGTTACTCGTTGACAAGTTTGATCAATCTCAACTATTAACAATAAAAGCTTCTTGTAAACGGATATCCAATGCTGACTAGTATTGGGGATGGTTGGAAGAAAGTTAGGGATGGCCAAACCAAAACGCGACATCATTCCTTGAACTCACTAGCGTCTAGTCTGAGCCATGTAAGTAGATGCAGACTACTTCGTTGGGGTCCACGTGACTATCGTAATCAATAGTTAGAGATGCTGGATGACATGACTCAGAATCGATCACAATGGTGTAGGTGTATACACTCTTTGTTTTCCCTTAAATTGAGATTAAAATCGCTTCATATCTTTCTTTTCTAGAAATAATTCTTTCTCCATGTACTATATCGTTATGCACAATCGTTCTTTTATATGTTACTAGCATTATTATATTAACTACTTTTATAAATTCGGTGTTGTTGGAGTGGTCGAGAAAATTGCTTTCAAAAGACTAGCAAACATCATGAAACATTAAGAAGCGTTTCACCTAATCAGCGTTCACTTGAAGTTTTAGCCAAAAATATCAAGGAAGTGAAACGTCACATGCAGAGGCTCTGATTGGCTGATTGCTACACTGCTATGTTTAGTAGCATTCCAGAATCTTCGAGCAACCCAAGAATACCTAAAAATATTATAGAAACCCTATATTTTCTGTGTTAAAATGAACGTTGGAGTAAACTACTTCTCGAATATTTTGAGTCTTTTCTCTCCTGTTCAGGTTGCTGTATAGTTCTAACTTGGGGTTTACAGAATAGCTTAGGAAACGAATATAGCGTTCAATCCGCAGACATATCGGTGTTCATGTTGTTGTGCTAATGAGGTGTGGCAACTTGAACCGATGCATGTAAGTGCATGTTCCTACATTGTAGCTGACTGACCGATTGTAAACGGATATTAGAATTATATCTAAACAAAATATGAGTCATTTTATATAAACAAACTATTTTTCCTACGCAATTAATTTACATAATAATAATAATTTTTCTTATTATATTTTTTCTCAAAAAAATTCAGTTTCAAGAACCACCTCCACGTCGTAAAGGATTTCGTGATTTCTTTCGTTCTGGTAAATTCAATTCAGTTACATATCTACATCAGAAGTTACGCAAAACTAAACAGCAACAACAACAACAAAGTCACCTAGTACACTATTACGTAAATCTAACATCATAATAAAAGATAAAATAGATAATAATAATGATAATCATCATTTATCACGAGTTAAACAAACAATTAACTTATCTAATCTATTTTCAAATAAATTACGTTCAACTAAAATTGATAAAACAAATACTCAATCAGACAAATTGAATGATCATCATCATCATCATGATCATAATAGTAACATATCTTCTAATCTTAATACTATTATTATTACTATTATTGTCGTTATTATTATTATTATTGTTATTATTATTATTATTATTATTTTCCACATTATTCACCCTCTTTTATACTTATACAGCGGCTCGTCTTTGGTGGAAATTCGACTGTATCTAAACGTTCTCGAGTCACTGTCCGGTTGAAAATTGTATGTTACCACCGAATACGAGAACTGAAGCAGTTTTTCTGAAACCACGTGCACCATTCAAACTGGCTGCCTTCAACGTTCGCACACTTATGCAGGTTGGTCAACAGATAGGGCTGGCTATGTCTTTGGAAAGTCTTAATATTGATGTTTGTTGTCTATCCGAGACCCGTATTCAAGACTCTAGCGAAGTACTACAAATTCGATCTCCATCTGTCGCTTCGAAAAGCTTGTTTTACGTGCGCTTATCCGGGGACCCTGTGGCATCTTCGTCTGGTCTTGCTGGCGTTGGTGTCGCACTAAGCGCTAGAGCTGAGGCAGCACTAGTCGATTGGATCCCCATTAACAGTCGGTTATGTGCTGTTAGATTAGAAAGTTCCATCAAAGTGAGAAGAAATCGGCGTGAGAAACGATGTCTTTTCGTCATCTCCGCCTATGCCCCGACAGATTGCAGCCCGGATGCAATCAAGGATGAGTTTTACCACCAATTATCTGTTCTTCTCCAGAAAGTGCGTTCGACAGATATTGTAGTACTAGCCGGAGACTTGAATGCTCAGGTCGGGCGTCTAGGCACAGAAGAGAGTCGTTTAGGTGGCCGATGGGGACTCGTTGGTCGCAGGTCAGATAACGGGGACCGTCTACTGCAACTATGCACAGACCACAACCTGTTTCTGGCTAGCACTAACTTTCGGCACAGTCATCGCCGATGTGCCACCTGGCGTCCTCCCTCTGCATCTCAAGCCTGGACTCAGATTGATCACATCGCGATCAGCTACCGCTGGCGTGGTTGTGTACAAGACTGCCGCTCCTTTTGGAGTACCTATCTGGACTCTGACCATGCCTTGGTCTGCGCCAATCTTGCCTTACTTTTCAGTGGCCAACGAAGTGACCGCCACCAACGGATTGATGTTAGCAAGCTGGTTGCAACTTCTGTTGCAAGTAAGTATCGAACCGAGCTAGCCTCTAGGCTAGCTACCACTCCACCGAAAAGTATAGATGAGCATTGGTTGCAATTGCATGACGCCATGAAAATGGCGGGAACAGTCAGTTGTGGGTTTGCGAAACGTCCCGCTTTTAAGCACTGGGTTTCTTCTGGTTCCTTACAACTCATTGAAGCCCGTCGGTCTACTCCGGGTGACCGTGAGTTTGACCATAAACGAAGGATGTTACGTAAGGAAATTGGGCAAAGCTTGCGTAAGGACCGAGAAGCCTGGTGGTCGATGCGTGCTAATGAGCTGGAAGCAGCAGCTGCATCTGGTAACTACCGGAAGCTCTTCCAGCTCATCCGAGCCACTGGCAGCAAGAAGTCTGGTGTGAGTGAAACAATCTGCGAGGATGATGGGATGCCAATCACTAACATCCATCGACGTCTTGGACGATGGGCAGAATTTTTCGAAGGGCAGTTCAACTGGCCTGCTGCTCCGGCAACATCGGTCAGACTGTCCTGCCCTCCATGGCCGGTGACGACTGATCCACCAAACGAGGAGGAAGTCCGCAAGGAACTCCAACTCTTGAAGCGATACAAATCACCTGGCCCAGATGACTTACCTCCGGCTCTTTTTAAAGATGGTGGTGACTTTTTGACTAAGGAATTGACGACGTTGTTCACAAAGGTTTGGGAACTAGAGAGTGTGCCAACGTCATGGAATGAGTCGATAGTTGTCCCTATCTTTAAAAAGGGTTCACGTCGTTCCTGTAACAACTATCGGGGGATAAGTCTACTTCCGATTGCGTCCAAGCTATTGGCTTCCGTCATACTTCGTAGGTTGTTCAAAACCCGAGAAAGATTGACTCGCGAGGAGCAGGCTGGGTTTCGTTCTGGTCGAGGATGTATTGATCATATCTTCACCCTCCGCCAAATGTTAGAACACCGCCATACTTATCAAAGGCCAACAATCGTAGTGTTTCTTGACATCAGGGCTGCCTTCGATTCGTTGGACAGGACTGTTCTCTGGGATTGTCTATTGAAGAAGGGTGTGCCTGAGAAGTTTATTAACATCCTAAAAGCCCTATATAAAAACACCTCAGGCAGAGTGAGGGCATACAACCACCTTTCTCCATTGTTCCATTCGAGTAGTGGGGTTAGGCAGGGTTGCCCAATCTCACCATTCCTCTTCAACTTTGCCATCGATGACATTCTGGAAACAGCTCTGATGAATGTAAGTAATGGTGGTGTGGATCTGTTGCCTGGAGAAAGACTTCTCGACCTTGAGTATGCGGACGATATTGTCTTACTGTGCGATAATGCCCAAGGCATGCAATCCGCACTTAATCAGTTGGCAATCAGTGTCCGTAGGTATGGTATGTGCTTTGCACCTTCGAAGTGCAAAGTACTTCTACAAGACTGGCAGGATTCCAATCCTGTACTCACCCTGGATGGTGAGCAGATAGACGTAGTCGAGAAGTTTGTGTATCTGGGTAGCTGTGTAAGTGCTAGTGGGGGTGTGAGTGATGAGATCAATGCACGAATAGTGAAAGCCAGAGCGGCTTATGCCAATCTGGGCCATCTATGGCGCCTTCGTGATGTTAGTCTGGCCGTAAAAGGTCGGATCTACAACGCGTCGGTGAGAGCAGTTTTGCTCTATGCTTGTGAAACCTGGCCTCTCCGAGTTGAGGACGTTAGACGACTCTCTGTGTTCGATCATCGCTGTCTCCGAAGGATTGCTGACATTCAGTGGCAACACCATGTCAGTAATGCAGAGGTTCGGCATCGTGTGTTCGGGCACAGAGATGATAATTCAATTGGTGTCACCATCTTGAAACACCGACTTCGGTGGCTTGGACATGTTCTCCGAATGTCGTCCCAGAGAATTCCACGTCGTGCATTATTTGCCGACTCTGGGACTGGTTGGAAGAAGCGGAGAGGTGGTCAGTGCATGACATGGTGTCATGGCATGAAAGAAAGCTGCAAAGGACTGGCGTGTGTTGGTTCTTCACGACTCCCTGGTTGGGGTCTGAGAGATGGTGCTACACAGTGGCTAGAGACGTTATCAGATATGGCTCAGAATAGAAGCCAGTGGCGATCCTGCTGTAACCTTCTTTTACTTTCTTCATAAAAAGTGGTTGTGTCTCCCTTACCTGAAAGATTTCTTCCGATTGTACCTTTGCGTTCCCTGATTACTAGCACATTACCTTACACCAATCTCTTCGTTATTGTTCTCTCTTTTTTTGTTGCGCTCCTTAGCTTTTTTTTCTTTCTTTGTATTCCTCTCGAATTTTCATTGTTTTGTGTGGCGCATATATATTGGCGCTCCCCTGTACCAATATTCATGTGTCCAAATAAAATAAAATAAATCATTATAAATATATATCAGTTTTTACCAGTCTTTTCTTTGCAACAGTTATTGACAGAAGATGAACTTCATGAATGGTTAAAAGAAGTCTATGAAATAGAAACTGGAGATGAAAATTCAACAGAAGCCATGATGATAATGATGGACAAATTAGAGCGTAATTTTATTCTTTTAGGTAAGAAAACAAAATTTATTTATAAACCTAACTTTTGTGTGACCATTGTAATTAGTACAAATTTTAATTTTCTAAGAATGAGGATTAGTACACTCTAAACTTTGTTGGAATTATTGCAACAATCAGGAACTGTACATAATTTCTTAGAGTATCGGTATAAGATATGCCAGCTGTAGTCTTTGACTTATCAACTTTTATGATTACTTACTTACTTACTCTTGTTACTCCTCGTAAGGGAGGATAGGCCACTCACCAGCATTCTCCATCCAACCTGTCCTGGGCAATCCTTTCCAGCTCTTTCCAGTTGTTATTCATCCTTTTCATATCTGATTCCGTTTTCCGATGTAATGTGTTCTTTGTCCTTCCTCTTTTCTGCTTCCCATTAGGATTCCAAGTTAAAGCTTACCTCGTGATGCAGTTTGATGATTTCTGTAATGTATGTCTTATCTATTTCCATCGTCTTTTCCTAATTTCCTCTTTAGCTGGAAGTTGTTCGTTCTCTCACATAGTAGGCTGTTACTGATGGTATCCGGCGAATGTATGTTGATTATCTTGCGTAGACAACTATTTATAAATACATTTAACTTCTTGATGATGGTTGTAGTAGTTCTGAAAGTTGCGGTTCTGTATAATAGAACTGCCTTGACATTGGTATTGAAGATTCTAACTTTGATATTGTTTGAAAGTTGTTTTGTGTTCTATATGTTCTTCAGTTGTAAGAATGTGACCCTTGCCTGTCCAATCCTCGCATTTAAGTCTGCATCAACTTTTATAAACAATAAGAATTTGATTATGACATCAGCTTTAACAGATAGATACATTTTTCATCAGCGATGATCATATTTTATGCGTGGCCTACAATTAAAACAGGATATTTTTTGCCTCTAATAATTTAATTGGTGGGTGGTATTTTTCATAAACTAACCTCAGTTTAAGTGTGGTCAAGTGATTATCGATAGTTTTAAACGTTCTGGTTTCGATCCTTAGATGGGTCTCATGTGCGCAATGCAGATGTGTTCCAAACCATGATGAAATAGCTACTGAGTGTTCCCTAGTTTTCAGTGAGATCTTAACTGAATTCAATTTGTAATGAATTCCACTTACAAATTAAACCAATCTTCACATAACATTTCATTAGTATTTATCGTTTAATTTGAAGTTTCTTGTTATACTTTCTCAATACTGTTTGGAGAACTCATTTCTAATGAACAGTTCATAACTAGATCATGTTTAGATCACCAGTTGGGAGATTTGAATTTTCATTAATATTACAAATGAGTAGCATTTTTTCTGGTTAGCGTTTTTTAGCGAGTTAGTTTTCTACGGGATGGGGTCGCTAACACCATGCCCAACCCCCCTTCTTTATCCGGGCTTGGAACTGGCAGTGGCCTCAGAGGGGCTTTAGGTTAGTATTAAATTCTGAAAAATCAGTTTCATCCTATTTGAAACTGAAATATTAACCTAGTATTCACATTTAAAACTTGATGTAGTCAATCACTATAACTCTCATTTTGAACCTTGTTGGGAACATGAACACTATAATGCATAAATATTCAATCGAGAATTTTAAATAATTATTATGTAAAATATTATTTATGGCTTAAAAGCATCTAAATCAATCTGTTGAGTTTCACTTGCTAAACGTTTAATCATCGTTTCAAAGTTCAGATAAAATCTCATTAATAACAGAAATTTTCAAAGATTATTTGTTAAACTTTTATTAGTGTCCGAATTATTTAGACACTAACACCGTTGGATGCCGGCTCAGTGGTCTAGAGTTTAAGCGTTTGCGTGCGAGATCCGAGGTGTTGGATTCGAGTCCCGAGTACGGGATCGTGGATGCGAATTGCTGAGGAGTCCCATATTAGGACGAAATCGTTGACTCGAAGTTACCCCTGTTGGCCTCCAATGGACAGATTTATCGAAAACAAATGACCCGACTGTTCGTCGCGTCTGCAAGCTGCTAAAAACCATCCGAAATGCAAACCACAGCCTTTTGGACCCTGGGAGATACTTCACTCAGATTTCGCTGATCCAGTCCCAGGTGTTGTTTACGAAATCGAAAAGACGAAAAGCGAATATCTGGTGCTTTAACTGGGTTGGTGGACACGTAGGATCCATCTAGGGGAGTTGGAAAACACTGATTCCAAGCCAATGGTCCACATGGGCTTCAGGATCCTGAGGGAACAAATGATGTATGAAACTATTGTTGGTCACCGGCTACCATGTGACTGTATCTCCTTATGTTGCTCCACTGTTTTGTGGACTGGACCTTTAAATCAGAGGCTCCGGGTGTGACCTCCTTAGAAAACTACCTATTTCGGTTTGGGCACCCGGGCAGTATCACAGCTCAACCACACATCAAGTGACTTGTGTGGCGCATACGTATACGGTGCCTCTGTGTGCCAATATTTATGCGTTTAAATAAATTAATAATTAATTAATGTTGCTAGTTCTTGTGGATGCATCTAGGAAATGGCCAGAAGTATATAGTATGCCTACCTGTACAGCCCCAGAAACAACCATCAAGTTGTCTACTTTGTTTAGTTGTTTCGGAATTCCAGAGACCTTAGTGACAGACAATGGTTCACAATTCATTTCGAACTCATCCAAGCACTTCTGTGGTATTGATGGAACGACACATCTACGCTCTCCATCCTACTATCCCTAATCGAGTGGACGGGCAGAACGCTCTGTCGAGATCTGAAAGTTTTCATTACTTTTAATTTTAGCGTTTCGTATAAGTCCATTAATCCTATGCCGTTTGCTAATGTTTCTGTTTCAAGTTTTATGTCTTTTCCTTTGACGTTGCGATGGTTAGTGTGTAAATCTTGACTTAGTCTGCAGCTAAAGTCGTTTAGTATTATTATAAAGTGTCTATTTACTTTTACTTTTTTAATCGCTTGTTGAAGTTTTTAATAGAACTGTTTCTTTCTGATATCTTCTTTAGAAGACTCAGTTGGTGCATAACATCCTATGAGACTGATGGTTCGATTTAAGTTCTTACAGTGTATTTTAATGGTAGCTATTCTACCACAATATTCATACCGAATAATCTTATGTAGTCTCCAGCCATAGTTGCTCTGACTGGCAACACGTCGTACCTACACAAGATAACAATCGGAGACCACTACGACCATCTGCTATTGTGCTTGAATGATTAGACAGCTCGGCTGGCAACAACCAGTGGATTCGCAGAAGACAATCCACTATCTCGTAACTGGGAGACTCCGGAAGAATGGTTTTCTGTACCTGAGTTCATTCAGCTTTTGGGTCAAAACTTCACACTCGATTTTACCTCCTCACTTTGTATAACTATGGAAAGCGGGTAATATAAGTGAATCAGATGGAAGACCATAATAACTGATTTGGTGGTTTTTTCACCCTAAACGCTGTAGTATTATTCAACAATCCATTCCGAATTTATATAACATTACATCCTTATTTTGAATTACAATCTCCTAGGTGCTACAGGTATAGAAGATCGTTTACAAAATGGTGTACCAGAAACTATTGACGCATTACGTGAAGCTGGTATGCATGTATGGATGTTAACAGGTGATAAACAAGAGACTGCAGTGAATATTGCTCGTTCGGCTAATCTGATTACACCACAACATAGAGTAATGTATATTAATTCACGTTCAGAGGTATGAATTTATTAACAACATGGTTATTTACATTACATGGTTTTCATATTAGTGTTTAGGCACAAATTAAACAACACAAATTGGTTGAAATTAGACGTTAACACCGTTGGATACAGGCTCAGTGCTCTGAAGGTTAAGCGTCCGCGTGCGCACTGCTGAGGAGTCCCGTAATAGGACGAGACAACCGTCCTGTGCTTTCAGGTTTTCGATGTTGGTCTAGCTTCAATTGACTCATGATCTCAAACATTGAAATAAAAATCTATCTGAACTTTCATTTCATCTACATAATCCTGGAGTTAAATGTTATCCTAGTAAACTTCTAATCATAATAATATTTATACTATTGAATTATATATATGAAATATGGAAATCCTTCCAATTCTCTATCCATACAACATCAATTAAACAAAATAACGGCACATTTTCAACTCAGAAGAGCTGTATGTAAAATGCTTAGTTGTTGATATTATTTGACAACAGGACGAACATTTCTAACATTGACTCATCGTGAATAATGAACGAAGATAACTAGTTTTTTTTCATGTATTATTAGCTACTCCTAAGTTGAATAGACCACATTTTGCAGAATCATCATTTAACTGATGAGATAAGGAGACCTTTAACATCGGTTAAAAACAAGGAGTACTCATGGTGTACAGATTTAGATCACTAAATTATTATAAATCTCCAGTAGATCTCAAGAACGTCATGTTAAGTAGTATTTATAGACACAATACTTCCTTTTCATTCTAATCGCTTGATACCGTGCCAAACATACACACACGAAAATTCATGTTTGTTGATCTACTTTAACAGAGCGATAATATTCAGAAAACTAAAGTGAAATGTAAAGTGGTGGTTGGAGATAGTTGACAAGAAATACTACTTGACCTAGTTTTCGTGTTATTTGCCACTCATCGGCAATGTGTACCTGCAATCTTGAGGGCGAATTTGATGCTCCCGGTTTCTGACAATTTCCTTTAACCACCATCACCACCTTACATCTCAATGTAATTCACGTGATTTCAGATTACAACTTGATCAATAAAATTTTATAAGCGCTGAGAAGGATTTCACATCCATTACATTGGTCAATACTTAGTGATCAAGAAGTTATAAAGAATTCCTCCTCAACTAATCATATTAATAATGAAGGAAAATGTTAATTAGTTTGCCAGTTCGGGTTTGTTATATTTAGAGCTTATAATCTTGATATGCCGCGTATAACTTTAGCACTCGAACTCTAGAACCCTCTCAAGTCGCAAATGAGAAGACAGAAGACAAGTGAAAGGAATGTTTTCCCAACCAATGTCAATTATGGTACAAAATTGTTAGGTATTTATAGTTTCTAGTAAAAATGAAATCATCATTAGAGTTATCCAATTCACATACAGGGGGTTTTTAGCATTGTCCAATAGGGAAGGTACATGTAGTGAGTCTGGAATATTCGTCCAAAAGATGATTGGACGGAATATCATCGGCTCTTTCTCAGGTTCTTAGAGCTTCCTCGGGTTTACCTGTCGACCGCCCTCACATGATTATATGATGAAAAGACGAAGATGATCAGAATTATGCAATATATATCAAAGCAATATATTTAGAATAATCTGATCACACATATACTTGTATATGTTATGAAAAAATAAAAGATCAACTGGACGAATGAAAGGTTAAAGAGATTTTGTTCTCGGAGCTGGATGGTTCGGTCGTGTATTTGCGGATCCTGTGGTGTGCATCCGTTATCATTAGGTGTACCATTTTTCTTCCACTTTGTTCAGCTATCCTCCATCCTTATGGGCAGTTGATTGGAGGTCTATATCTTACACATATTGGTAGAGCATGCTGGCGAAGACACTCGTGGAGAACATACAGTTGTTCTTGAGTGGAAGCCTGCCTTTTGGCGAAATTCTCCCCCTTTTTCAAACAACGAGAAGCGTATTACGTTCATATGATTTTGTGATGTTGGAAAAGATTTCTAGCTCAGGTGGATGATTTTGACGGAGTTTTGTTCTCTGAGATGGATGGTTCGGTCAAAGAAATAAAGATATGAGGGAAAATAATATGATAAAACAATGGAAAACACGCCATGCTCTATAATAAATCAATATTAACAAGGTTGAACAAGCTTTTTGAATACACAAATAGGGTTTGAATTTTCGTACGACATATACACCTTAGACAATGTTTTTTGTCGAAAAACTACCAATTCTGAATTAAGATCAATTTTATCTTCTACTTTACTTATGTGTTTCGCAATAGAGGAAAATGGATATTTATCATCTCTTCTCATTGAATCACTTGCTCTTGTTTGGTTCTTTAACAATTTTGGTACATGTTCAAAGACCCCTTTCTTGTAAATCTCGACTACTGTTCCCTAATTATGTTAAGCCACAGACATGCAAATGTGATGCAATTAATTACATGTAATTTAGGTGTTTGGTAAAGCATAAACCTTGTTTATTCAATGATAATGATTTTTACTACATAGTACGTTTTACCAATAACTGATTTGAGCTTTTGTTTCAACACAAGGCTATTTGGCTTACATCTAAATGTTAGGGTGATGTAGGTAGGCTACATCGGTGCTAAAAGTATAGGTCTTACCTTATGTAACCTATCAATCGATTTATGACTGTTAGGGTATAATCACTCTGCATTAAAGTTTTGTTTAATATCCGCATTCTCAGTAATGTCATATGCTTAATCCTACTCAGTAAGCACTTTACCAAGCTTTTTTTGTACTGAACTGTACAACAGCTATAAAAACTAAGATACTGATCTGTCCAAGTTGGCTTTCTAAAAACGAGTTATTTTTGTTTGAACCATCTTCTTTTTACTTTTAAGTGCATCTAGGATAGGAATCTGGTTATTCTTCTATTCACATGATAGACTGATTGGGTTTTGCTGTGTTAAATTTATTCAACAAACAATTTGCATCTTCCGTCTTATTTTAGATAATTAAATTATCATTCTTATATCTCTTATAAAGGCATATAATTTTACCATAGGACTTTAGCTAAACTTACAACATTTGACATAAACACATCGGCTATTAATTATTATAAAGGACTGACCATAACAACTCCATCAATCTATTGAACATCTTTGCTTTCAAATGTGATTTGTACTTTGTCGGTGCATTTATAAATATTCTTAATAAGTATATATGTGATAAGATTGTTTGAAATCTATTGTGCTAACATGTTACATAGTTCTGATCATCTTTGTCTTCTTATTATACTACCCAGATTTATCAAAGGGACTAATTGTTTTGGTATGTGTTTACATTATTCTGTTATCGTTGTTAAGGCTAGTATATATTGTCATTTGTGCGTCCTGTGAGGATCGCCTTGATATTGTTCTTTGTCATAAGACTTTATAAAGTTGGATTTTTACAAGTAACGTAATCCTAAACGTGCCTTTCTTTTGAAATACTGAGCGAAACGATCGTAAATCTCATCATCCAGCTACATTTAAAACCACCCTGGAGCATTGATTGAAGTTGAAACAGTGTACTACTAGATCCCAACCCACTGATTTGATAACTAATAAATCCCCACATGACCTGGGGATCGTACTTTCGGCCTCCGAAAGGGTCCGGGTTGTGCATCCTTGAGTAATCTCATACTTGAAAGAAACACCTGTTCAGTGGCTCATAACTTTCAGCGGTACGCTAATTGAGATTATTAAACCATAAATAGCACCTACAATTTATAAGAATTTTCACAAAATCACTTCACTGAAAATAGTTATTTTATTTATTCGGACACAGAAATATTGGTACAAGGAGGCACCAAATATATATGCACCACACAAATCGTTCGATTTGTATGACGACTGGAATACTGCCTAGGTACCCAAAGCACAGCAGCTGGTTTTCGTAGCCTTTGACCTAGAGGTATAATTTGCAAGCTGGGGAAATGACGTTAGGAGTTGCAGTCTCATGGTAGCCGTTGACTAATAATAGGTTCACATGCCATTTTCCCCCCATGATCCTGGAGCCCATGCCCACGATTTGTTTTGCAATAAGCGTTTTCCAACTCCCCTAGATGGATCCTCCATGTCCACCAACCCAGTTAAAACACCAGATATTCGCTTTTCGTCTTCTCTATTTCGTAAACAACACCCCAGTACCACCAGAAGGTAAGTGAGTAAGACTTCCGTGATAGTGGTTTTATACGCATGACTATGTGAGGGCATTTGGAAAGGGAAAGCGGAATCTCCCCAACCTCGACCGTATCAGGGCATTTGGGGAGGTGTGGAATTTTTGTTTCTCATTTCCAAAATTTTGATGTTTAAATAATATTACATTTGCCATAATGACTAATTTAATATTAATCAAGGTTTACAAACTATACATTTGTTCATATATCATTAGACATTAACACTTTTGGATACCGACTCAGTGGTCCAGTAGGTTAAACGTTTGCACTCGAGACTGAAGTCCCTTGGTTTGAATCCCGCTAGCGGGATCATAAATGTGCACTACTGAAGTGTCCGACAACAGGAAGAAACATCCATCCAGTGTTTCCAGGTTTTCAATGATGATCAGATCATGATCTCAATCAAAAATCATATCTTATTAGTTTAATTCATCATTTTAACTAGTCAATTTATTTCATGTAATTATATTATCTCTTTCTTATTGTTTTTTAGGCTCGTATAGAACATCTTTTAAATTCATATTTATACAATATTATTAGTGGACAATTATGGGATTGTTCTAATGAATTAGATGATAAACTTGAAAAATTTACTAATCCACGTTATTCTAATTCTCAACAACAACAACAACAACAACAACAACACAATAACAAAAATCATCAAACTAATCATAAATCTAAAAGAAAATCTAATTTGCATCGATCATCTTCACATTCACCACATCGTAGTCGTACTATACATCGTGTACGTATTATACCTACACAAAAACCATCTTCATTACCACGTGATATTACTTATTTTCATGAATATAATGCTACTACTATTAATAATAATAAAGAAACAAAACAAAAAAAAATTTTTAATTTTTCAAAATTTCTTAAATATTATCGTTTGTTGACAAGACAACAACATCATCCTAAACGTAAAGTAACTAATTATAAAAGGCATAGCAACAATAATCATAATATGGATAATTATATTCCATTAGCTTTAGTAATTGATGGTGAAAGTTTAAATTATGTATTAAATAATGAAAGAAATAAATCACAATTTATTAAATTATGTGATATGTGTACAAATATTATATGTTGTCGATCAACTCCTGGACAAAAAGTAATTTCATGGATTTATTTTGATGTTTAATTTTATTTGTATTTTTCCATTGTTATTTAACACTGTAATGAATCAGTTTCTTGTTGGAATACAGTGGTCTTGAGTGCTGTGGAAGGTTTCTTATAGAGGTACCTGAAACGGAAATTGGATTAGAGGTGGTCTTAATGACCTAAGAGCGTGACTGCAATGCACAAGGGACAACTGCTTGAGGTCGGTCACACACGAGCTTTTTATGAGTAATTTTTGTGTTATCCGTGGGATAAGGCGAAGTGTGCATTTTTAGGGTCGATCTTTTCTAACCCCACCCCTCCTTGTGGTAAGGCAGCACCGCTGTCATGCTGGTTATCTGAAGAAAATACCTAACTGCTGTCACACCTTTGTACAGTGAGCAGTACAACTTCGCCTTCAGACCTTTGGTTTGCTGCTTTTAGTCTTACCGTTCTTCAACCGACCCGTCTGGTATGGCAGGACCTTGAGGAACGATTGTTGCAGTCAGTATAGCTTGATTGGTTCATCACGGTAGGCAAGCCCGACCACCACGTCAAGGTAGCATTAACGGCTCAGAACTCTTTCTTCCCGTACTATATCCTTATATGCAATCTTTCTTTTATATATTACCACCATTACTGAATTAACTACATTTATGAATCCGGTGTTCATCTTGTTGTGTTAATGAGGTATGGCAACTTGGACCGATGTATATATGTGTTTGATCCTACGTTGTAGATGACTGACTCTCTTGTTGGTATATGTGCATTCTGTGTGGATTGTCTCGGTTTAGCCTTAAGTCACAAGTTTTTTTTTAAAGTAAAGATGGATAGTGACTAGCAGTGTAATCCAGGATGCGAGATAATTGGTCATATTTCGGGACTTGTCAGCTGGATGAATGTACCTGCATCTCAGAGTTGATGTTCTTTCTGGGACTCGAAACTAGTACTGTTCGTTTTTAAATACTATCACGTTATCCATTTAACTACTGAGTCCTGATTTTGTTTCTTTATTTGGTTTGAAAGTAATTATCACCATGAATTAAACTTTTTAAAGTAGTTAATAATTGTTTGCTTTCTTTACATTTCTAAAGTTGTATGGATTTGATTTTGTTTGTTGTTGGTTGGATATACTTGGAAAGTTTTAAAGTAAGAAAAACTCATCTTTTTACCATGGTGTGCAAGTATAATATCAATAAACTTGCTCTTTATGAAGTGTGATCTTTCGAAAGTAAAAGATATCTGATCATATAGTGCGATCACTGAATAAGTCATGCTATAGTCATACAGTGGATCAACAAATAGATAACGGCAATCGTCTATGATAATTATCCATAGATAACAGTTTATTCTTGTCAAGTAACAACTTTTAGAATAAGTGTTACATCCGCTTGGCTTATCATTTATACTTAAAAACGAGAAATCATTGCAATTCCTATGATGCGAAGTAGAAACACTAAGACTGATACAAGTAACGATTCATTAACTCCGAAACATGACAACGACCATGATCGAAAATACATTTATTTATTCATTGATTGTACACTCATTTTGATTATTAATGAGAACAAAATCATATTTATGAAAACTACTTAGAGTTATAACACTTGAACTGATGATGTGAAGTGAAGTGAAATAGTTGAGCGCGTCGACCATTCCAATTATCTCAGGAGTCTTATCATCCCCATCGGGTTTTATGAAGAAATCTACCGTCTGTTTCGACGCACGATAATGGGGTATGTAGGGATAAGTTGGGAGAATTAATAAGTAGTGTGTAGGTCATTTTCGGTATGACTCATCAATCAAGTACACATTGGTATTTAAGTAAGGTGTTTTCTTGTCAAAAAAATTGATGTTGTTTAATTCCTTCTAAATGAAATGACTAAAACAGAACGTAAACGAGGGAACTTGATCTTTAGACATCAAGCGCTTTATTCACCAACCTACTGCTCTATTCCCTCGGATATTAGTGTTTTTATGTATCTATGCATATTGACTATTTATTTGTTTTAAAATGTCATGAATACATACCATAATACTTTAAAGATTGTTAATGATTCAGAAGAAATATCCCTATATCTGATCATAGACACTTTGTACTCTGTATCATTCAATAAATAAATAAATAGTAGTCGACACTTATTAAAAGTTGCAAATAATAACGTGATCAAATTGAACTAGTAAGATGCGAAATTCACTTGGTATTGTTTACTTGAATCTTCTCATTGATGTGTTAGGACTGTAACTGATCACTTTCTTGTTGGTATATGAACATACTGTGCGTATTGCCTCGATATTGCATTAATTTACAAGTATTCTAAGCAAAGATAAATATTGGCTAGCAATGGAATCCAGGACACGCGTTTCGTCCTATTTGGACGTTTGAAGCGAACGGTACAGGGTTCGAGTCCCAGAGTGAATATCAACTCTGAGATGCAGGTACATCCGGATGACGAGTCCCAAATAGGTCGAAACTCACGTCCTGGATTCCACTGCTAATCACTCTCCATCTTTGCTTATTAATGAGATGAATTGAAAAGACTAAACGAAGATAATTGAGGACTGAAAATATTTGCTTTCTCATATCTTTATTGTCTACTTATTAGACATTGATTTGAAGGAACAAATCAGTTAAAAATTATCTGAGTAATTCAACTGCATGATCTGAGTTTTTCAGTCAGTCAGTCAGCTACAACGTAGGACCAGGCACATGTATGCATCGGCCCAGGTTGCCATACCTCATTAGCACAGCAAGATGAACACTGGATTCATAGGAGTGGTTAGGTCAAAGGTGGTAATATATAGGAGAAAGATTGCAATAAGGATATAGTATAGGAAGAAAGAATTAGTTCGTAGAAAGAAAGATGTGAAGTGATCTTAATCTCTTAGTTTAAGAGAAGACAGAGAGTGTATACACCGACGCCATTGTGATCGATTCTGAGCCATGTCACCAAGGGTCTCCAACCATTGGTTACGAAAGTCACGCGGACCCCAACCAAGTAGTCTGCATCTACCAACATGGCTCAGACTAGAAGTTAGTGACTTCAGGCACTGATGCCACGTTTTGGTTTGGCCGCCCCTAACTTTCTTCCAACCATCCCCTACACCGGTTAGCATTGCACGTCGCGGTAATCGGTGTTCAGGCATACGTAATACGTGGCCCAACCATCTCAGTCGATGAAGATTCATAACCTCATCAACTGATTTACCATCATTCCCTAATACCCTGCGTCTAACCTCACTATTACTTACCCGGTGATCCCAGCAGATGCCAGCAATATTTCTAAGGCATCTGTGGTCAAATACTAGTAGCTTACGGGTGTCTTCTACTCTTAAGGGCCATGTTTCGCTGCCGTAAATTAAAACAGAACGGACAGCCGCGCAGTATACTCGTCCTTTTATTGATAGACGGATATCTCGCCTCCGCCAAAGGTGACGTAAGTTGGCAAAAGCCAAACGAGCTTTACGAATCCGTGCTGAGATTTCGTCAGACACCAACCCATTAGGGCTGATCAGACTTCCAAGATAAGTGAAGTTGTCAACACGTTCGACTACTTCACTCCCTATCCTTAGTTCAGGTGTTGACGCAGACCAGTCCTGAAGCAACAACTTGCATTTAGAGGGAGAGAAGCGCATCCCAAACATTCTGGCATTGTTGCTTAGTGCTACCAGAAGACTCTGCATTTTGTCAGCGTCTTCACCAAACAGGACTATGTCATCTGCATATTCTAAGTCGATAAGTGGACCTCCTGGAAGGAGATCAATACCCGAGAATTCAGTCGACGAGAGTGTTATTTCCATCAATAGGTCTATGATGAAGTTAAACAAAAATGGAGAAAGTGGGCAGCCTTGACGGACACCACTTGAGGTTGTAAAGGTAGATGACAGTTCGCCATAAGCCCTGACTCGACTAGTAGTGTTCGAGTAAAGAGCCTTCACAAGGTTTATGTACTTCTGAGGTACGCCTTTCAATGACAGACACTGCCACAGAGTCTCGCGGTCTACAGAGTCAAATGCTGCTTTTAAGTCAAGAAAGACCACCATCGTCGGACGCCGATAGGTATGCCTGTGTTCTAGAACCTGACGAATGGTGAATATGTGGTCGATGCAGCCACGACCAGGTCTAAAGCCAGCTTGGTTCTCTCGTGTTTGTAGTTCACGAGTCTTAGTTAGGCGTTTGATAATTATCGAGGCCAGTATTTTAGATACTATGTTTGTTAAACTAATCCCTCTGTGGTTGTCACAGGATGATTTTGACCCTTTCTTATATATTGGGACGATAAGTGATTGCGACCAGTCAGATGGGATAACGTCTAACTCCCAGATTTTAGCCAAAATATTAGTCAACCTAGTCGCTAAAATTGGACCACCATCCTTAAAGACTTCTGGAGCCAGTCCATCTGGACCAGCTGCCCTTCCTCGTTTCAGATTAACTATAGCCTTCTCAACTTCAGCAAGAGTTGGGGGACCTACTTCAATGTTCCATTCACTTTGTCTGGGAATGGAGGGTAGTTGTAGAGTAGCTGAAGGCCAGCTGAACTGTTCTCTAAAATGTTCCGCCCATCGTTCTAAACGTCTGGACTGGGAGCAGATGAGAGTATCATCTTTTTCCGAAATAATCTCACTTACACTTGACTTATTAGTTCCAGTTTCTTTTATTAGTCTGTAAAGCTGTCTTGTGTTCCCTATAGTCGCCGCCTTTTCCATCTCTTTTGCTTTCGTTACCCACCACTGCTCACGGTCGTTCCTTAGACTTTTTCTTAACCTAGATCTGATTTGTTTACGCTCTTCATCATGTTCAGAACCTGATGGGACGAGTTTGCGAGAATCCATCAGTGTGACAGACCTTGAAGAAATCCACTGGTTCCTTGTAACTCTGTGGTTTAAGTCACTAATAGATGTCACTGCTGTTTCCACAGCTGCTTGTATGTCCTTCCAAGCAACATCTGGGTCAGCCTCGTCTTCACAACTACCTAAGTGTGACCTCAGTTGTTCCTGGAACCTACTTTTGGTTTTCTCGTTACTCAACTCAGTTCTAATGGGTCTTTTTAATGTGGCTTTTTTGCGTCCAGTGAGGCGCAAGCAGATGCGTGCCCGTATTAGGGCATGGTCGGAGTCCAAGCAGGTACTCCAGAATGAGCGACAATCTTCTACCGACCCTCTCCAACGATGACTGATGGCAATATGGTCTATTTGAGTCCATCGTTGGTTTGGTGTAGGGGGTCGCCATGTTAGACGATGTCTCTCCTTATGCTTAAAATTTGTGTTTGCTAAAAATAAACGATTGTCTGAGCATAGCTGCAGCAGACGATCACCATTATCTGTTCGCTGTGTCGGAATACTAAAATATCCACCTAAATGCCTTTCTGTTTGGTTTAAACTGCCTATCTGAGCATTAAAATCACCTGCTACGAGTACTATGTCTGAGCGTTTAGCTTTCTGAAGAAGTTCGGATAGCTTTCTGTAAAATTCATCTTTCACTTCATCTGAGCTGCAGTCAGTGGGAGCGTAGGCAGAAACGACAAAAAGGCAACGACGTGTGTCCCTATCCTTCCGAGTTCTTACGTAGCCGTTCAGCCGAACAGCACATAGACGACTGTTGACGGGGATCCACTCTAGCAGTGCTTGTTCGGCCCTCATGCTTAGTGCTATGCCTACACCTGCCAGTCCACGAGAACTTGCCATCGGGTCACCAGATACACGAAGGGTGTATCTCGTTGGCTCTCCGTCTTGCCGAGGTGAGGTCAAGTGAATGACCACACTGGAATCCTGTATGCGTGTTTCGGAGACACAGCATACATCAATGGAAAGAGACTCTAGGGTTTTAGCCAAGGAAGCCTGCTGACCGATTTGACATAGGGTGCGTACGTTGAAGGCTCCAATGTGTAGTTTGGAGCGAGGTTTCAGTAGACCTGGGACAGTGTTTTGCGCACTAGAATCGTTGGCTACGGTGACACTTGAGGTGGAAGCCGAGAGAGGAAATACAGAGTTGAAAGTCGATGTAGGAGGAATAATAGGAATTGAAGAAGGAGGTTGATTATGAATACAGTGGACTTGAGTGCTGTTAGAAGTATGAGGGCGGTTATCACTTCCCGGTTGCCCACACCGTGGAAGGGTTGTTCTGGAGGTACCTGAAAAGGAAATTGGATTAAAGGTGGTCTTAGTGAACTGAGAGCGTGACCGCAGTGCCCAAGGGACAACTGCTTGAGGTCGGTCACACACGACCTTGTTATGGGTAATTTTTGTGTTAGCTCCGTACTTATTGAGACCTTACCGCCGGAGACGGATATCCGTGGGATAAGGCGAGGTGTGCATTTTTAGGGTCGACCTTTTCTAACCCCACCCCTCCTTGTGGGAAGGCAGCATCGCTGTCATGCTGGTTGTCTGAAGGAAACACCTTACTGCTGTCACACCTCTGTACAGTCAGCAGTACGACTTCGCCTTCGGACCTTGGGTTTGTTGCTTTTAGTCTTACCGCTCTTCAACCGACCTGTCTGACATGGTAGGACCTTGAGGAACGGTTGTTCCAGCCAGTATAGCTCGGTTGCTTCATCACGATAGGCAAGCCCGACCACCACGTCAAGGTAGCAACAACGGTCGGGCTGAGTTTTTCAGACCTACTTTATACTGATAGACCATGTCCTTAAAAATCGAATTAGTTAATGAGCTTTAAAATTATTTTGACAAAATAAAGAAGTTATCAGAAAGGGGTTCTGTGGATATTATAGTAATTTAATAGTTGAGATCATGAGTCGATTGAAGCAATACCACCATGGAAAACCTGGAAGCAGTGGACGGCCGTTTTGTCCTAGTGTGAGACTCCTCAGCAGTGCGCATCCACGATCCCGCCTCGCGAGATTCAAATCCAGGACCTTTCAGTCTCGCGGGCGAGTGCATCTGGAAAAATCGTCAACGTCATCTGGAATTCATACAACGAACTACACCGCAAGGTGGTGCATGGAGTACAGCTGAGAAACGCATTCCAAGTGACAACCGGAGCCAGTCAAGGTTGCTTACTCTCGCTCTTTCACTTTCTTCTAGTAGTTGACTGGATTGTGAAGACCTCCACATGTTAGGAAAAGCACGATATACGATAGACAGACTGGATGTAACTAGGCGAATGGACTTTACAGATGACCTGCCTCTTCTAACCCATACATACAAACAATTGCAGATAAAGACAACTAGTGTAGTAGCAGTGTCTGAGACATTAGGCATCAACCTGGAGAACACCAACCCAGTCGCATTTTATGGAGAAGCTCTGGAAGATGTGGAAACTTTCACGTACCTGGATAGCATCATCATCGATGAACAAGGAGGATCCGATGCTAACGTAAAGGTGAAAATTGGCAAAGCAAGCGAGCCATTTCCACAACCGAAAGACGTTTAAAACTCAAAATGACTGTCAACTAATATCAATGTGAAAATCTTGAGTACGAACATCAAGACAGTTCTGCTGTACGGAGCTGAAACGTCGAGAACTACGACAACCGTCATCAAAAGAGTACAAGTATTTATAAATAATTTTCTACGCAAGATACTAAATGTGCACTCACCAGATACCACCAGCACCTTCGAGCTGAAGAAAGAATTAAGAAAAAACCCTGGGGTGTATAAGACATACATTGCGGGAACCATCAAACTGCATCATGAGGTAATCCGTTAGTTTGGATTCTGAATGGAAACGAAAAATAGAAAGGCAGAGAACACAGTGCACTGAGAATTAGAATCATACACGGAAAGTATGAATTACAACTGAATTCAACTGGATGGTATTGCTTAGGACAGAGTTGGATGGCGAATGCTAGTGAGTGGCCTATGCTCCTTCACGAGTGGTAATAAGCGTAAGTAAGTACGTAAGTAAATCACCATATCAATCTTCTAGAAATATTTCTATTTATATATAAAAATGAAAATATTATATATGATAATAAATTTTTATTTATTTATTTATTTAGGCCGCTGTAGTTAGTTTAGTTAAAGATCAATTAAATGCTCAAACATTAGCTATTGGTGATGGTGCAAATGATGTAAATATGATACAAGTAGCTAATGTTGGAATTGGTATTAATAGTGGTGAAGAAGGTATGCAAGCTGTTATGGCATCGGATTTTGCTATTAGTCGATTTTATTTACTTAAACAATTATTACTTGTACATGGACATTGGTGTTATGATAAACTTGCACATGCTTCTTTGTATTTATTTTATAAAGATGCAGTAAGTGATTATAATTTCAATGAATATTCTGTATTATTATTATCTTATATCATAATTTCTATATACGGTAATGTTTTAAAAGCTGTATTATAAGTGAAGGAGGACATAGGCCAGGATAACCGGATTACAACTAATATGATCATTACTGAGTTACTTGGTAAAATAGAAAAACCATACTATAATACTTAATTTGCAAAATGTTCAATAATTGTCTTGGACTTCATTGTTTTCGCATTTCTATACTAATTACTTTCTATTCCTATTCTTCCTTTCTTGATCTTCCCAATCTTCTGCTGCCTGACATTACATTCCTGACTCATGTTATATACTACTTATGTCAATATAAGTAGCACGTACCACAGTATAACTTTAGGTATTCATTCAAAAGGACATACATTAATAATGGTGATCATTGATATAAGGAATAACATTTTAAATAATGTGAAATATTTTCAATTGATCCTCTTTCATAAAATTCCTTCTTAGAAAGATCAATATAGTCGAAAGATGCTATACGGGCTTAGTTAAATTATTGATAGGTTGAAAACGAATATTCCGTTGAAGAAATCCAACAAAAGAAAGTAAAGAAGGTAGTAGTAGTAGTAGTAGTACTTATTGATTTGGTCATAGAATATTACAAAAATAGATCGATACTAGACTATCTAAATGGTATAGCATATGGATATTTTTTAACATTTAAAACTTAATATTAGAGGGGGTTTTGTGGATCTTATAGTAATTTCAATGGTCGAGATCATGAGTCAAAAATTTCGGTAGCAGTGGAAAGCCGTCTCATTCTATTTTGGGACTTCTCAGCAGTACGCATCCACGCATTCGCCTCGAGAGATTCGAACACAAGACCTATTAGTCTCGCACGCAAGCGTTTAACCACTAGACCACTGAGCCGGCATCAAACAGTGTTAATGTCTAACTTGAACTAATCCACGAAATTTGGTGACACATCGATCATTGTCATCAGTGAGTTACTATCTCACAACAGACCTGGTTGAACTCCACTGATCACTACTTCTCACTAGAACTCCAGGATATACCTCTTGTAGCCAGTCACTAATGAGCATATGTTGATTAATATCAGAAGAGATTTTCATAAATAAAGTTGTTTAAATCTTGTAATTTCCTTTGCTCTACCTACCGTCTATCTTGAAAGTGTTGAGGATACTATATCCCTAGAAATCATTTGGTAAATGTCTGATTTTGTAATTTTATCTTGGAAATGTGAATTTCTCATTTTTGTGCTAAAAGCGTCCATTTTTTACCGATCAGATTATATTTTCCACTTGGAAGGACCTTAAGTGTCATTGGTTCGTTACCTTTTTCAATACGTTATTTTGTGGCGTTTCCCAAGGACCCTTTTATATTGTATATATACTCTTTAGTTGTATGCTCGTCGTTCGTGCTTTCTATCTGTTCTTGGAATATACCTTACAGTCTATTCTCCCTCTAGTTAATGAAACTAGGACTCATCGGAATAGTTTAGCGTGTTTTGTCGCTGACCTTTCATTCAGTTTGCCGGCTTAGATATTCTCGTAATCTCTTCAAACAAAACAGGAAGTGAGAGTATAATGAAGAAATTTATATTTTGAATGAACTGCTGAGGAGTTCCACAGTAGGACGAACGCCGTCTAGTGCTTCCGCGTTTTCAATGGTGGTCTGACATTGATCGGTTCATGAGATCAATGGAAAATATATATGGTGGCCTAGCTTCAATTAACTCATGATCTCAACAATTGAAATTACTATAATATCCACAAAAACCCCTTCTGATATTAATCAACATATGCTCACTAGTGACTGGCGGCTTCAGAGGAGTTCTAGTGAGAAGCAGTGACCAGTGGAGTTCAACTAGGTCTGTTGTGAGATAGTAACTCACTGATGACCATGATGAATGTATCGCTAGAGTTCGTGGATTAGTTGAAGTTAGACATTAACATCGTTAGATTCCGGCTCAGTGGTCTAGTGGTTAAGGGCTTGCGCGCGAGACTAATAGGTTTTGTGTTCGAATCTCTCGAGGCGAGGTCGTGGATGCGCACTGCTGAGAAGTTCCACAATAGAATGAGACGGCTTTCCAGTGCTTCCAGGTTTTCTATAGTGATCTAGCTTCAACTGACTCATAATCTCAACCACTGAAATTACTATAATATCCACAAAACCCCTTCTTATATGATATATATATGTATTTTTATTCAGGTTTAGGTAAGTTTGAAGTGAATTTGTATTTATATACTGACATATAGAAGTCTTGTACAAAATACATATATTCTTTATTATTTTATAGATTTATATATTTCTATTATTCTGGTTTCAAATGTTCAATGGTTTTTCCGGTAGTAATGCAATTGATCAATTATCACAAATATTATTTAGTGTTACAATGACTAGTTTACCACCATTTATTATGGGTATTTGGGATAATCCATTAGATGATAAAACTTTATTAGCTAATCCTATATTATATAGATCTGGAATAAATGGTAATGTAAGTATAAATGGTGTCTTAATTGTTATCATGTATTTATTATTAGTATTATTATTACTATTATTATTATTATTATTTGGATTTGGCAAGACTATAATCTATGGATGATCTTTGAAGGAATCCTAAGCGACCTTGAGAAATATCAGTCAATCAGCAAACAGTCAGTATAGAGTAAAAATATATTATACAAAACCGAAGAAATAAAGTGGATACACTTCTTAGACGTGGTTCAAAAACTTGTCAAGGTTAGAAAGAGGTTTAGAGGTTCTAAAATCGTAATGAGTATAGTAGAGGAAATCATTCATATGGCTACAGTAAAGTCTGCCTCTGGAGCCATGATAAAGTTTCAAAAACTCGTACAGCTTCGACCATATAGTTTAAGTATTTTTTGTGTGCATTCCAGTAGTTCGGTTCACAAAATGTCACTTATGGATAACGACACGATGCACATAACCAAGCCTATGTACGAGTCTGTACGCTCTCCAAACATCCGTATATATTGTAGTACCTGGCTGCGGCCAGTGTTACTGGTGCTTTTATTATCCAGTTCGCAACAACTGTCATAATTTCCCTTAGTTCCAATATGGATCGGGAGAAGAAAATTCTATTCTAGCAAACTTCTTCCTCCAACACGTATTACATCGAGAGACATCATCACGATAGTCTGTACAAGGTCCACAAGTCATTTGATCACGACAATCAGAAATAAAGGAATTTTTATAGTAGTACCATATATTGTAGTCGCTCAATTATCATGGTTTCTCTCAAATTCGCTCTGAACAAATCGTACGTAAGCATCAGGTACTGAGATTGATGCCGTGACCTTGAAATCCCTGAGCGCTTCTGATTGGCCCGTCTATAAATTATAGTCTCGCCACATTTCATTCTAATCAATTGGCTTACCTTAACTTAAGTGATTTTGTATTCGCTAACTTTAATGCTCCCAGAAGTTCAAAGTACTTGTCGAAATTTAGCAAAATATGTTGAACCTTTACAGTTTCTTAATTGTAGTATATTTACAAACTTTAATATGGTATTTAAATTGGTAAGTTGAATGTTTCACAATGTATTCACAAATAAGGATTCCGAAAATTTATGAAATTATCATATCGTTTCGTTGGTCCCATTAAACATAAGTGTATACTAGTTTATGCGCCTGTTGAGTTTTATTTCTGCAAACAAATAATGGAACCTTGAAGTAGGTACTATAAAAGTTCCTAATATCAGTAGTACAATTCACAAAGACATAAGTTTTCTTCCATAGGACATTCGGTGAAAATTACATAATGATGAAATTAGTATACACAAATTTTAGACCTTATTTTTAATATATCTGCTTGTTAACAAAAAAGATAGCTTCTTCAAACTATTCAATAAAAGGCAAAAGAATTAGGAAGGTGTAATAGCATAAAGCCAGTGATTGCAACGAGTGAAGTCTTTACTTCCACTGAAGTGTAACTAGATGTCATATATTAATAAAAAAAAGAAAACCTTTAATACGGCCCGATATCTGACTCTAGTTCAATCGTATTATGATTACCATCGAAATATACATCCTGGCTACTCTCGTATATAATCATCGACTTAAATCACGTTAGCGAATAACGAAATTAAATAAATCAAATAAGAGGATGGATTTGGATATGTATATTTCATACAATCGTTGATCCAGACAGACGATCAAAGAATTTTGTTTATTTATTTATTTAAACACATAAATGTTGGTACAAGGAAACACCAGATAGATATGTACCACACAAGACACTTGATTTCAGTTTAGACTGTGATACTGCCCGAGTGCCCAAACTGAAGCAGGTGGTTTCCTTAGGGGGCCACTCCCCAAGCCTTCAACCTGAGGGTCTGATCCACAAGGCAGTGGAGCATCGTCAGGAGATGCAGTCCCATGGAAGCCGGTGAGTAATTAATACACGTACGATCATAAAAAAACAATCAGGATTAACAACCAAATAAGTGATGTGATAAAAATGTGCCTTGAGAAGAACGAATAGATTGATCTGTCCAGAGGCTAGAATAACCTATGTAGGCTTGACATAGTACCAGCTCCTACACATGCCAGATTTAGTCGTTTTTTTAAATACGATTAATGTATGAATTTTATTCGTCCATTTTCAAATAATTCAGTAATTCGGTGAAAAAATATTCAGGAAAATCTTTTTTAAGTTTTCAGTATGCAGATATATAGATTGTTGAATTTCATTGAGATCATGAACCGATCTAACTTATATCGCCATTAAAAACCTTGAAGCATTGAATGGCCGTTTCATCCTAGTATAAGACTTCTGCAGCTTACATCCACGATCCTGTACTCGAGAATCGAATCTTCTACCTCACGAGCTAACGCTTAACCTTTAGATTATTGAGCCAGCAAGACTAAGTTACAAACTAGTTGTCCCTTAATTAAGTTGACAGAATTGCAACTATCCTACAATTCTGCTCTGCCGAAGATAACCGATGATAAATCATTGGTTGTTTCAAATTTTAAGAAATAAATTAGAGATTGTAAGCAAAGATGGATAGTGGCTAGCAGTGGAATCCAGGACGCGCGTTTCGTCCTGTTTAGGACTTGTCAGCTGGATGTGCCTGCATCTCAGAGTTGATGTTCACTCTGGGACTCGAACTTAGTACCGTTCGCTTCAAACGCAATCGCGTTATTCACTTAGCTACTGAGTCCTGATAGCCACTTGCTTGTGCAATGAGTTGAAATTTAATTCACTTTATATTGAACATCAACTCTGAGATGCAGGTACATCCACCTGACGAGTCCCAAATAGGACGAAACGCGCGTCCTGGATTCAACTGCTAGCCACTATCCATCTTTGCTTATAATGCTTGTAAATTAAGGCAATATCGAGGCATACGCACAGTAAGCACATATGCCAATAAGAGACTGATCAATTTCAGTCCTAAAAACATCAATGGGAAGATTCAAGTAAAGCAATATCAAGTGAATTAAACTTAAATTCGAGATTATTATACATTTATTTACACATCCTAGCTCTATTACTTAGGATTAATACCACTTTGTTGATTGATTTCTTCAGTTTGATGGGTAATGTTAGGAACTCAATGTTAAACATTTGAATACTGTTACCAAAATATTTCAAAACTTTATTCTTTTTTTCACTGACATTCATGATCATTATCCTGTTAAAATGTTAGCATAAGTTTTCAAAGAGTTCTTCATTAATAGCTAATAACAATAAGCCTGAAACCTTTGTTAGGAATTTTTCAACTTACATCAATATTGGGAAGTATATTTTTGAAATAACAGAATATATTACACTTTCATAATTGTTCCAATAACTTAAGATCTTGAATAAGTAATCAGTCAGTCAGTCTTGATTGCTGTTAGAGGTATAAGGGCGGTTATCACTTTCCGATTGCCCACACCGTGGAAGGTTTCTTATAGAGGTACCTGAAACGGGAATTGGATTAGAGGTGGTCTTAGTTACCTAAGAGCGTGACTGCAATGCACAAGGGACAACTACTTGAGGTCGGTCACGCACGACCTTTTTGTGAGTAATTCTCGTGTTATCTCCGTACTTGTTGAGACCTCACCGCCGGAGACAGATATCTGTGGGATAAGGCGAAGTGTGCATTTTTAGGGACGACCTTTTCTAAACCCACCGCTCCTTGTGGGAAGGCAGCATCGCTGCCATGCTAATTATCTGAAAGAAATACCTTACTGCTGTCACACCTCTATACAGTGAGCAGTACGACTTCTCCTTCAGACTTTTGGTTTGCTGCTTTTAGTCTTACTGCTCTTCAACCGACTCGTCTGGTATGGCAGGACCTTGAGGAACGGTTGTTGCAGCCAGTATAGCTTGATTGGTTCATGATGATAGGCAAGCCCGACCACGCGTCAAGGTAGCAGCAATGGTCAGGTGAATAATTAATCATCATTATTCGAAGATTTCATGCAACTGTTTGTCTTTATAAATTTGAACCAACACTCAATTGTTGTTTTGGCTTTATTCAAATTATTATTGCTTCATAGTAATCTAACACAGAACTAATCACTTTTCCTATTAGATAGGTAGTGCTGTATAGAGCTAGTCAGCGGCTGAAAACTGTATTACAATGAAAATTAAGTCTTCGTTGTAAGCTAAGTCTACTACTATAACTATCATTAAGAAATTACAGATATTTTATACAGTTGTCTACGCAAGATACTTTATATATGATCAGAGAGAGGGTTTTGTGGATATTATAGTAATTTAATAGTTGAATTCATGAGTCAATTGAAGCTAGACCATCCCGGAAAACCTGAAAGCACTGGACGGAGTCACACACTAGGACGAAATGGCCATCCAGTGCTCTCAGGTTTTCCATGGTGTTCTAGCTTCAATTGACTTATGAATTCAACCATCAAAATTCTCTTTATGCGTTGGCTGGATATAATCAGCAACAACTTACTGTGCAAGAGAATAAACCAACTTTCAGCTGTATGGGAAATTAAGAAAAGATGCTAAAGGTGGATAAGATATACTTTGCCGAAATTATCAAACTCCATCAAATATCAGGCCCTAACGTAAAATCCCTGAGGCGAAAGGAAAGGAGGCAAACCTCAACACATACTGAGCCAGGAATTGAAGGAAGAAATCAAAAGAATGAATAGGTCTTAGAAACAACTGAAAATAAGAACCCAAGACAAAGTAGATTGAAGAGTTATCAGTATAGGATTTGTGGAGATTATTAAGTTTTTGATTGAGATCATGAACTGATTGATGTTAGATCACCATTGAAAACCTGGAAGCATTGGACGGCCGTTTCGTCCTAGTATGGGACTCCTCATCAGTGCTCATCCACGATCCCAGAACCTATCAATCTCGCACGCTAACGCTTAAACTCTAGACCACTGAGTCAGCATCCAGAGGTGTTAATGTCTAACCTCAATCAATCTACGACATTGCGTGACCATCTTCCACTGTACTGAGGTAGATACCTGTCTCTACCGGACATGGATTAGCTCCATTAGATTAGAAAGATGTGGTCGGCAACCTATGCTCCTCCACGAAAGGTAACAGAAATAAGCAAGTTAGGAACACTTATGCCTAATAAAACAAAAAGCTTAAATTTTCTTGTCTTATTTATATTCTTTTTTGTAATATTAATTTTATTTTTTTATTAGGCCTATCGTCCATGGTTATTTTGGATGAATATTTTCGATGCATTATGGCAAAGTTTAATTATATTTTTTCTATCATATTTTACTTATTCGGACGATAATATTGGTTTATGGGAATTTGGATTATTTCAAACAAATGCAACAATTCTATGTACATTATTTCATTCATTAATAATCACTAGGACATTGGTAATTGATTGATTGATTGTTTGTTTTTTAAATAACTTTTATAACAGATTCACTTGGTATTGTTTTAACTTGAATCTTTCCATTGATGATTAAGACTGTAATTGATGAGACTCTTGTTAGCATATGTGCATCCAGTGTGGATTGTCTCGATATTGTCTTAATTCACAAGCAGTGGAATCCGGTTTAACGCGTTTCATTCTATTTGAGACTCTTCAGCTGGATATACTTGCATATCAGAGTTGATGTTCACTCTGGGACAATTTTTGTATTTTGTTTAGATTTGTTAGAATCGCCTAAAGTTAACATACCAGTTCAGTTGATGTTGTTTTTACTTGAATCTTCCCATTGATGATTAAGATTGTATTTGATCAGACTCTTGTTATCATATGTGCATCCAGTGTGGATTATCTCGATATTGTCTTAACTCACAAGTGTTATAAGCAAAGATAGGTCAGTGGCTAGCAGTGGAATCCAGTTTGATGCGCGACACTTCGTTGGATTTGAACTCGAGTCCCAGAGTGAGCACATCAATTTTGAGATGCAGGCACATCCAGCTATCTGCTTATTAAACATTGATAAGAAATAAATTATTTGAGATAATTCAACTGCATAATCTGAATTTTTTTTAACCTACATTGTACTGATAGACTATGTCCTTAAAAGGTAATTAACCGTCTTAAGTTTTATATCGTTAAAATGAATCTATCCGTTTACACAGTATTCTATGTAAAATACATGAATTTTATGTGATTACTTGTTTCCAACTTCAGCATGGAATAATGATACAACTTGAAGTTTTTACATGTCACCCAACTGATTATCTATCCATGAATTCGATATGGAAACTATACAGGAGTCACAACTACTAATCAACCTATCATATACATATTTCAAGAAATTCAAAATGGTATTAATATACAAAATATCCGGACAACATAACATGTCACATAATGAGCAGTTAATCAAAAATAAATATGAAGATTACAAAGTAGTCAATAAAATCCTCAGGTCTTCGGCTAGATTTTGTGTTGTGTGGGGGGGGGCTTAGTGTGAACTATTCTAGTATCTAAACTAGGACGAAATGTCTATCTAGCCGTTATAGGAATTTATAAAGTCTCCAGTAGGTGTTAGTTCGTTAAAACCATTCTCAAACGATGTATATGATCATCTAATCAAATGTATCAGGGACGCGTTCAGTCGATCATTTTCGTTACAATGTGTATAAAGTTTTATCGACCTCTTTCTTTGGTCTAAAAAAAAAAATACGACTTGAACCTAGCTAGGTACTCCCTTGTAATATTGTACTATATAAGTCGCTTTAGATACGCTACCCTATTAGCGAAATAAAATCTGTGAAACAATATCGATTCTCTAAGATATTGTTCAAATAAGTTTAGTTTCAATTCAGACATTGAACACCATTTTCAAGTCACGCTTTACTTTAATTCAATTCAGATGCAAGAAGTATAAACCACTACTTCTATACAGATTGAAACATATCATAAGTCCTTATATCCGCTTCAGAGTTGATTAAGATTTGGTACTTGTAAGCCATCAGGTGAACAATTCGTCAAATAAACTAGTGTTAAAATATAAGCAAAGATGGATAGTGGCTAGTGGTGGAATCCATCTTGACGCGTGTTTCGTCCCGTTTGGGACTCGTCAGCTGGACGTACCTGCATCTCAGAGTTGATGTTCACCCTGGGACTCGAACTCAGTACCGTTCGCTTCAAATGCCATCGCGTTATCCACTTAGCTACTGAGTCCTGATAGCCATTTGCTTGTGCAATGGGGTGAAGTTTAATTCACTTGGTATTGTTTTACTTGAATCTTCCCATTGATGTTTTTAGGACTGAAATTGATCAGTCTCTTATTGGCATATGTGCATACTGTGCGTATGCCTCGATCCACTATCCATCTTTGCTTATAATGCTTGTAAATTAAAGCAATATCGAGGCATACGCACAGTATGCACATATGCCAATAAGAGACTGATCAATTTCAGTCCTAAAAACATCAATGGGAAGATTCAAGTAAAACAATACCACGTGAATTAGTGTTAGAATAGTTCAATCCTGAGTTGAATAAGCTAGATATAAAGTATTGAATTGCTATTTAAAGACAATAAACCTTTCAATAACGTTGTAGGTATGTCCTGTGGCTATGTAAACTTGCATGAAACTTTCAGCCACGGTTGCATATTAACTGATATTGGCAATCTGATATTGAACGAATTACACTATGCTGACGTAATATCACGTAATTGTTGAGCGTACTGTCCTTTATAGGAATCTTGATCTTTTTCATCATTCCTACGCTCCTGGCTAGTTCATTATTCACTGAATCATTAACAAAGTGATTTGTTTGGTGTTTTACTAGTGACAATGGATTAAAAATCGATTTGTGTTATTATTATCTACAAATCCAATAGAGTTTGATACGTTTCACAGTTATTTCCATTATGATGACAAACGTTGATTCTTCCTATTCATTATACACATCTTGAGCATAATATAAATGTATTTCTACAAGCTTTTCATTTGATATAAGATAATAGTTTTCGCAAAAAGAACTGTAGTTACTGATAAGTCTTGTGGATTGAACGCTATATTCGTTTCCTAAGCTATTCTGTAACCTCGAAGCTAGAACTATACAGCGACCTGAACACAAGAAAGAAGACTCTAAGTATGCGAGTAGTTTACTCCAAGGTTCACTTTAACACAGAAAATATAGGGTTTTTATAACATTTTTAGGTATTCTTGGGTTGCTCGAAGATTCTGGAATGCTACTAAACATAGTAGCAGTGTAGCAATCAGTCAATCAGAACCTCTGCATGTGACGTTCCGCCCCCCTTGATATTTTTGGCTAAAACTTCAAATGAACTCTGATTGATGGAAACGCTTCTTAGTGTTTCCTAATCCTTGCTTGTCTTATGCGAGAAATTTCCCGAATCACCCCAACAGTTACATCAACTTTACTATGAATTAGTAACATCGTTGTAATGACGTTTTGTCGCTTATGCTCATTAATAATGAGTTGATTTACTCAGTTACTGAATATAATAAACGAGTAGGAAGCTATACAAAACCATTTGTTCTTAATCTTCCAATCAGAATACGGTTTACTGATATTTATAAACATTCAAAGATATATCAACGTTAAAGGAGTGAAATAGAAAAAGTTTACAACTACAACAACAAAAACAAATTAATATTGTAAATGAATTAATATCAGATGGGTTTTGTGGAATATTATAACAATTTCAATGGTTAAGATCACAAGTCAGTTGAAGCCTGACCACCATGGAAAACCTGGAAGCACTGGACGGCTGTTTCGTCTTATTGTGAGACTTCTCAGTAGTGCTCATACACGACCTATCCCCCAGAGGGATCCGAACCCAGGACTTCTGGTTTCACGCACGAGCACTTAACCACTGGACCACTGAGCCGGCATTCAGTGGTGTTAATGTCTAATTTCAACTAATCCACGAAATTTAGTGACATATCCACCATTGTTTTCAGTGAGTTACTATCTCACAACTGACCTGATTGAACTGCACTGATCACTACTTCTCATTAGAACTCCAGGATATACTGTATATATATTGTTTGTAGAATTCCTGACCAACATAACATTTGAAAATTCTGTTATACTTTCTGTAGATGCTTATTAAGTGATTGTATTGTGAACGAGAACACAAGCGGGGATAAATATATGTATTTGAACACAACTATATAGAACATCTTAGTAAAATTTAAGAATCAAGCAGTTAATTCTTCATTTGCAAAATATCAATCAATCGTCTCAAACTTCATTGTTCCTGCATTTCCATACCAATCATTCTCTGTTCTTGTTCTTTTTTATTTGATCTTCCTTAAACTTCTGCCGCCAGAAATTTCACTTTCGATTGATGATAAATACTATTTATATCTGTCGACATCAGTAAACACACACCACGGTTGGATATAACAAATAAAATTGAATGATCATCAATTGTTCAATAACTTTTATCTTCATTTATAATGAGGTGACATTTTTAAATTTTATATTGTTATGGTTTATCAGTCTCTAGTTAAGCAACTAATCAGAATCCTGATTTCTATGACTTGGTGTCTAATCTGCATCAGTGACCTTGAGTTAATTGCTAAGTTCTTATTAGCCCACAATTCTATATCTTTCCTCTATCTTACTCTTTAATCCAAAAATTAGTAACTAACCTCTGCTATATTATATTTCAAGCAGATATAGTTTATTTACAGACATATCAGACCATATCATAACAATTATACAACATGATCAAATCAAAAAGTGTCTATGAATAGAACAGACTGTATAATGATAAACTGGCAACAGATTAAGAATAGTAAATCACATATTAATTAATGGGTCAAGATTTGAAGATCAACTTTATTTTTGGTTATTAGTCACTTCATTATTTTACCAAGTAATATGTGTTTTCATGAAAGAACTAATTATAAGCTGTACCACTGTGCGGTGTGCTACTTATATTGATATAAGTAGTATATGACGCGAGTTAAAAACGTAATGTCTGACAGCAGAACATGAGGGGAAGATCAGGAAAGAAAGAACGGGAACACAATGCAATTTGTAAGGAAACGCATGAACAATGAAATGTGAGACAATGGACTGATGTTTGCAACAGGAACAGTCCAGGTTGATATGATGAATTGATATTTTGCAAATTAACGATTTGCTATATGGTTTTTCTATTTTACCGAGTAACTCTGTAATTTGATGCTAAATGCATTCGGTTGTCTTCGCCCGTGTTCCAGTTCACTACACTACTACTTCTACTAATGTACAAAGTACTATTCCGTATGGAATGTTTTATTACTAAAAAAATATAAAAACGGTTGTATACACTTGAATCTAACAGCCTTTCTTTTTTTCTTTTCTTTTCTCTTTGTTATTAGGTTATATTACATGCAGTTAGCTTTTTTGTTAGTTATATTCTGTCATATTTAATATTTACAATGATCTATCATACATTTGCTGTTACTGTTGTTCCACCTGAATGTCCTTATCGAATTATTTTTCGAGTAATGAATGATATCAAGTTTTGGTTATTAACATTGGTTACTATTATTTTGGCATTATTACCCAGGTGAAGTAAATAATATTGTTAAATATATATTGAAAATAAATATATTTTTTAAATTGAATAGTTGAATTCATGAATCACTTGAAGCTAGAATACCATAGAAAACGTGGAAACACTGGATAGCCATTGCATTCTAGTGTAGGACTCTTTAGTTGGTTGAAGTTAGACATTAACATCTTTGGATACCGGCTTAGTGGTCTAGAGGTTAAGCATTCGCGCGCGAGACCGATAGGTTCTGGATTTGAATCCCATTTGGGGCGGAATCATGGATGAGCACTGCTGAGGAGTCTCACACTAAGACGAAACGGCCGTCCAGTGCGTCCGGGTTTTCCATGGTGATCTAGCTTTAATTGATTCATGAATGCGACTATAAAATAATTAAAAATATTAGAAGTATTATTGTTTAGTTTATTGAGTATGAAAACCTTGTGTGTGTATGTGTGTGTGTGTGTGTGTGTGTGGTTATTGGACATTGAGGTCAAGTATGAACTATTGATTTGTTAACGCCTATGTGTTGTACAAGTTGTTAGTTTATACCTTTTTCAAGTCTAATTACTTGACCTTGTAGATAATTTTGGAAAGTATTTCTAATAGTGCAGTATAATCATTAAAATACTCACATTTGTTCTATCTTTTGATAAAGATATATATATATATATATATATTTGATTTTCATACAGTAAAATAGGACAACATATATAAGTGAACAATACTGTTTTCAATTAAATTCTCATCAGGCTTTCCTTTAATATATTTATCGTTAGTATAGAGGATTCAAGGAGACAGTTATCCACCATAGGTAATGGATAAGGGTTGCAAAATATTACGGATTGGTTGAAGTTAGACATTAATACCTTTGAATGCCAATTCAATAGTCTAAAGGTTCGGCATTCGCGAGTGAGACCAAAAGTCTTAGGTTCGATTCCGTCGTGTAAGATTGTGGATCATTTACACTACTGAGGTGTTCTATATTGAAACGAAATGGCTGTTCAATGCGTTCAGGTTTTCAATAGTGATCTAGTTAAGATTAGTTCATGAATTAAACTGTGAAGATATTCACGCTGAACGAAGAAATATTTCCTTTCTAGTCAGTTTCTCCTCAAGTTATATATATATATATATATATATATATATATATATATATATATATATATATATATATATATAATACAGTTATATAACATACCCTTGTAGGCCGGGGTAATTTTACACTGGTTTCCAGGAGAACCAGACACTATCCAGGCTTTCACTTCACAACCCAAACACTACAGCTCAATCCCGTCTAACAAGAGTGCGCATCCACGGCCCCGCCTCACGGGATTCGAACCCAGGACCTATCACTCTCGCGCCAGGCGCTTAACCAGCTAGATCACCATTGTCATCAGTGAGTTACTACCTCACCACTGACTCGGTTGAACTCCGCTGATCATTGCTTCTCACTAGAACTCTAGGATATATATCTTGATGCCAGTCACTAGTGAGCATATATTGATTAATATCACATTCTGATAGATACATTCATTTTTATGTATTATTTTTTGTTTATTTATAGATTACTTATAATTATCATTAAAAATACTTTCTATCCAAATATGGATACTATCGGTAATTTACTTGCAAAATATTTAGGTCGTGGTAAACATTTACCATTAGAACCATATTTATTACATATACCATATTCATTAATGATGAGAAATCGATTTTCTATACAATCACCAATCAATCATTTATCATCTTGTATATCTGAAATCAATTTAAATAATCAATTAATCAATAAATCTTATAAAAATAATAATTTAATAGAATATAATTCATCATTAACTCCTATATCATTATCATCATCATCATCATCAGATATTCAATCAAATTTAATTAAATTAAATGAAACACCAATACATTTAATAAAACATTTACATCAATTACTGAATGTGAGTAGTCAATTAATGAGAGGTGTACAACCTATTCATCATTTATATGTTGAAGACATTTCAAGGAATTCAATAGGAATAGATAATCCTCATCAGCAACAGCATCATCATCGTCAACGATCTAGTACTATACCTAGAATTATAACAGATTATAATAATTGTCAATATGATCAAAATGATATACATAAACGTCATCATCATCATCATCGACATTATCATACATTTAATGATAGATTATTAATAAAACAACAAAATAAAACTGATTTTGATGATGAAACTAATGATAAAGATTTTGATAAATCAAAAATATCTGCTATTTGGCCAGCAATTAATCCTAATAATAGAATAAGTAATAGTATTCAAGCTTCAAATAGTTCAATGAATATTGATCTTTCAAGTAAGAATTTTTTTTTAAGAAAAAAAGAAAGTAGCTAAGATTTTAAATTATATGATTGAAATCATTTTTGCTCTCAAATACTGTGATACGACCGAGAATGGAGAGAGTCAGCTCTCCTTCTTTAAATGCTTTCACATGGTCACATGCATACAACCACTACCAGGGAAGTCTTATTCACTGCCTTCTCGTGACAGGGGTGTTGTTTACGAAATTGACAGGACAAAAAGGGAATGTTTGATGCTTTAACCGAGCTAGTGGATCCACTTAGGGGGTTGGAAAGCCCTGATTACAAACCAATGGTGCACATGAGTTCCAGGATCCTGAAGGAATAAATGGCGTATGAACCAATTATTGTTCACCGGCTACCATGGGACTGCATCTCCTGACGTCGCTCCACTGTCTTATGGATCAGACCTTTAGGTCGAAGGCTCCGGGTGTGGCCCTCCTTTAGTTTGGGCATCCGGGCGAAATGTGGTACATATCTGTTTGGTGCCTCCTTGTACCAACGTTTGTGACTAAATAAACTGAAATCATTTACTTAACATGTAGTTTACTATTTAAAATACAGGAATGAACGGATATTCGTACTGAGAAGTGAACCCAAGAAAGTCTAATCCTCAGGTACTTTCTTACTTATCTACGCCTGTTACTCCTCATGGAGGAGCATAGACCGCTCACCAGCACTTTTCATCCAACCCTGTCCTGGGCAATCCTTTCCAGTTGTTATTCATCCTTTTCATATCTGATTCCGTTTTCCGATGTAATGTGTTTTTTGGTCTTCCTCTTTTCTGCTTCCCATCAGGATTCCAAGTTAAAGCTTACCTCGTGATGCAGTTTGATGATTTCCTTAATGTATATCCTATCCACTTCCAGTGTCTTTTCTTAATTTCCTCTTTAGCTGGAAGTTGGTTCGTTCTCTCACATAGTAGGCTGTTACTGATGGTATCCGGCCGATGTATGTTGAGTATCTTGTGAAGACAACCATTTATAAATACTTGTACGTTTTTGATAATGATTGTAGTAGTTCTCCAAGTTTCAGTTCCGTACAGTAGAACTGTCTTGACATTGGTATTGAAGATTGTGACTTTGATATTGATTAAAAGTTGTTTTGAGTTCCATATATTCTTCTTCTTGCTTTTCCAATCCTCGCCTTGACGTCTGCATCTGATCCTCCTTGTTCATCGATAATGCTTCCCAGGTACGTGAAGGATTCCGCATCTTTCGGAGTCTCGCCATCAAGTGTGATTGGGTTGGGACTTTCTAGTTTCACCGAACTATTCAGTTATTTCGTGTTAACAAAATGTTTTGTACCAACTACCTGACTTTCTTTAAAAACGTTTGGACCATTGTCGAGGATGTTATGTTTGTAATAATTTCCTGTTATGTTCACTGTCAATGAGTACACTTATAATCACTATGTGGGTTAACTTCTATTGACTGCACGAAATGCTAATCTATTCTCAAATTCTCAATCAAAACATCAAAAAAATTAACCAAGAATCTTGAATTCTTCAGACCTAAAACCTCATGTGATTATATGCAAAAAACACATTAAAAATAAGAAATCTAGATCTGCACGTTTGTGACACATATTTGCAAGATAAGATTATTATCAGAATGGAGGTTTGTGGAGATTGTAGTAATTTTAATAGTTGAATTCTACTTCATACAATGGATGAACGATTGTGTAAGATCATGGATCGATAAAAGTTAGACATTAACACCATTAAATCCCTGCTCTGTGATCCTGAGGCTAAGCGTTTGCACACGAGACTGAAAGCCCTGGGTTCAAGTTCCGCATGCGGGATCATGGATGCACACTGTTGAGGAGTCCTATACTAGAACGAAACAGCTGTCTAATGATTCCAGGTTTATAATGATGGTCTAGCTTAGATTGACTCATGAATTCAACTATCAAGGATTAACCAAATCTTAATAGTGTGACTTGTTTCAAGGTAGACATGATTGAAGTTCTATTGGGAATTCTTGATTTAAATTGTTACCCTAGTTGAAGGTAGATATGGATATATTCTTATATTGCTGAATAATAGTTACATTGTTACATATATAAACTAGAGGATTCCAACTTTGTGGCTGAATAGTATTGTGTTAATCAAGAAACTATTTCCTTTTATGCATACTTTTTGGTACTTTTGCATCAATAACTTAACACCACCACCTTATAGGGGGGGAGTAATGCATTCCGTTAATTCATGGGAAATATGTGACTAAACCAATCTAACTATTCAATACACTTTCGATACTTGGTTTATAATGGTTGAAAACGATATTTTATAGTGCTGTGGAGGTTGTAGAATTTTATAGTTGACATCACAGATTGATCTTAATTAAACAACCATTGAAAACTAAGAATCCCTGGACATATATTTCATCGTTGTATGTGACTCCTAGTGTGATATATGCTACTTATGTCTGTCGACATTAGTATGTAGCATCAATCAGAAGTGGAATTCCTGGAAGCAAAAGGTTGAAAAGATCCAATTAAAGAGGACAGAAATACCAATAGAGAATAGTTGTATTCTACGAAAACATTCTGTAATTTTGTATTAATTAATTGGTTATCCGCAACAAGTCTTTATTTGCTACACTAGATGTGTACATTTAAGACCTCACTAAACGTCGAACCTAGAATCCTCAGTTCTCGTGTCTTATTTATTTATTTATTTCAACACATAAATATTGGTACAAGAGGGCACCAAATATATATAGCGCCACACCATATTTGTGTGTGTGTGGGCTGTGATACTCCCCGGGTGCCCAGACCGAAGCAGATGGTTTTCTTAAGGGGCCACACCCCTAGCCTTTGACCTAAAGGTCTGATCCACAAGGCAGTGGAGCATCGTGGGGAGATGCATTCCCATGGTAGCCGGTGACCGAAAATTGGTTCATACGCCATTTGTTCCCGCAGGATACTGGAGCCCATGTGCACCATTGGTTTGGGATCCGGTTAAAGCGCAGGACATTCACTTTTCATCCTCTCATTTTCGTAAACAACACCCGTGATGCGAGAAGGCAGTGAGTAGGACTTCCCTGGAAGAGGCTGTATACGCGTGGCCGTGTGAGAGCATTTCGAGAGGAAGGGCAAACCCACCCCATTCTCGGCCATACCAGGGTATCTAGCTAAAGTCAATACATAATTTGAAGTTTCATATTACTTGCATTTTCCAGTTGATTTAATAATAGTAAGACTGTTTTGTATTTATTACTTTCATTAAAAATTAGACACTATATCAGTATCATGAATCCTGATTTCACATGTTTCTTCACTTTCATAGCTATTGGTCATAGGAGTAGAGGATCAAAATGTCAAAAACAAACACAACAACAACAACAATACTTCACATATCCTTCAGCTCGATATTCATCTGGACATAGACCACCATTATGTCAAAACGGACATTTTCCTTTTGAATTAGATCCAAGAGAATATTCGTCCACTAATCAATCTCAGGAAGAAATTAACGAATCTTAAGAATTATTCACTCAATAGACAATATTTTACAAAAACCTTTGTGCCTCTTTGTTTTTTTTTAAGAACTAAACGATTTTAATTAGATTCGGTTTCTTAATTTTTAACACTTTTAATCTGTATGAAATGTTCACTTCTTGTAAATAAATTCCTTCTCTTTTTTTCTAAATGGTTAATTCTACTCATTTGCAACTATATATTCGCTAAATTCTTGTGTATTCCTTACATCTTTCGAATTGTTTATCCATTCTATACAGAACTATTTATTCAAGCAACATTGTACAGATTAATATTATTATAGTGTGTATAGCAATACTATTCATACTGCTTTAGATAATATTCTGAGGATGATATATATGCTAACTAACTAAACTAACAACCATTTGTGTTTGTATCATTGTGTAGTAGGTATACTCAGTCACAATTGATTGATCACTGGGTGGTGATCAATGTCATGCGTGTCTAGTCCTTATTAGTGCAGATCGAATGCTATCGATCATGTTGCAATGTGGCCACTAGTCTAGGTGACTCGACACTGCGGGCACTATGTATAGGTATCATTGAGTGATATTAGTGTGGACAGAATTAGCTTTATAGTGTTTCTTGATCAGAACTTGTTGTTATCACTGTCTTTACACTGTATATCAGGAGTTTGTGTATCTGTCAATGTCAGAGTAATTTGTTTTCTGTTTATGTAAGGAGTTCAAGTCTCTTATGCCAAAAATCATAAGGTGCTTAGGAAGCATCTGTATTCAATGATACATACAAATCGGTAAACCTGAGAGCGTCATCTTTACAGCCTTCGAGATGAACTAAAGGATAAGTTTTACAGAAAGCTTTCTCTTCTATCACAGAACGTTAAGCCCTCTCAAGTCTTTATTGTAGCAGGAGATTTTAGCACTCAAGTAGATAGTTTAAATCAGGGTAAAATATGCCCAGGTGACTCTTACAGTGTCCTAGCTCGACGAACAGAAAACGGAAATCTTGTACAGCGATTAAACATAGACAAGTTTATTCTTGCCAAGCAACAACTTTTAGAGTAAGGGAAGATATCGACTAACACGATGACCCTCAAGACCGACCCAACTATAGACCCAGATAAACCTCACTTCCATTAGCCATCGTTGGTGGCAGAAGACTCAAGGAAAAAAAATTTTAAAATGGACCGTCTACTCTGGGGTACATAATTCGGTTTCGATCATACTCTAGTGCGAGTGTGTTCGTCTGGTTGCAGGAAAACCATGACAAGAATCTCAGGAGTGTATTTCAAGAACTAGAGACAGTCTGTTTATCGAAATGATCCGCTCAACCTGAAAGACTGGGTTGAATACTGAAGGATAGCTTAAGTGGTCTCCAACTACCTTCCTGTTGCCTACTGTTACTAAACAACCTAGTCTGAACAACTGCCCATTCGCGCATGAAGTTGAAAAATCCATAAGATGTCACAACCGGGAAACCACCGGTCCACGATTTACTTCCGGAGACGGTTGTCCGGTTTTAGCAGGTAGACTGATACTACTCAAAACCAGGAAAATAAGCACAATCCCACTCGACTAATCTTGATCGCCTCTATTTACAAGATAAGAATCCCACTGAGATAATCACACAGGAATCAGTTTACCTAATCGTGTCTACAATATTAGCCTCATTAATGACGCAGCGCTCAAATAGGGCTCATAAATAGAACAAAAAAAGTTGATTTTAGACTCAAAAATCGAGACCAAACATTCGCTCTTTCTCGGGTCCTGGAACACAGACATAACCATTGCCAAACAGCCACACCTGTATTTACCGAACCGAAGACGTTTAAGTATTTAGGTCGACAGGTTTTACGTCAATTCCTGTCATTAAAAAGCGTAACAAGAAAGTCCACTAACCTTGCGCATGCTCTACTCGAACACCAGTAATCAAATCAGAGCTCATCGTAAACCGTCATTGGACTTGACGAATTCAATCGGTGTTCGTCAAACTTGTTAATGTTCCCTATCTCAATCCAAGTTTACTGTAAATTTGCTTTTAGAAGTACCACATTTATCATCCATATCAGGAATCGATCTCCTACCAGGAGGTCCACTCGTTGACTCCGAATACACAGACGAGATAGTTCTGGTCGCTACAAGCAACAAAGGGAACAGATCTGGTACGCATTTCTCTCCCTTCAAATGCAAAATTTTGCTTCAAGACAGGTTTTATGACGAAACCCACTTCCCATTTTGACGCAGAATGATGGGGGTAGTAGGCTGGAATAAGGCTAGGGGTGATTAAGCCTTAGTGTTACATTAATGCATGGAGACAGACTACGGGACTGAGTTATGTCAGTAGGTATAGACTATCTGGTTTTGACCTACGCAATTATTGTATGCAATGATGCGACTATCTGTCATGGATGAGTCATCCACATTGATGCATGTAAACTTCTACCATTCAGTTCGGAAGTTCTTATTTCCCTTATATACACCAGTTATCATAACTTCGTATTTCAACCGTATTCGATGCTTTTCTTTTACTATTACCACTGCTAGTACACGGGAATGCGCCCCGATAATTTTATATCACTTGTCTAGTGAGGTGTGATGGTTTGGACCGATTTACAGAAGCGGCAGGCTGTATATAAAACTTGAATATTGGATACGCTTACATCAACGTAAATGTATGACATCGGTCGGAGTAGCACGTAACTATATCACAATAAATCTAAGCGACGATTATTTAGAAGTGGTGAATCTCAACATTTGGATCAGATGCAACTGGAAATATTGAACTTACTCTTGCAAAATTATAAATTAATCGGTCTCTTTTCCAGTTCATAAGTATTAGGCGACTAGATACTGAAATAAAAAGATGTGATGACGTCAAGCGACATATATTAAGTCAAATGCTGTTTAAATTACAATTTAGGGCTTTAGTGCTCGCAGATGTAAATAAAAAACTGTAATTGCTAGGGTGCTTATAGTAATCTATTCTTGATTTAATAATAATACGAAAGCAGTACAACGACTACGTAGTGGAATGTACTGAGCATCATATATGCAACCATTCGGGTAAGATGTTTTTACTCTAAGGCCAAACAATAAACAACTTATCCAATGTCTTTTATTAAGTGGAAAACATTAATGGTAGAAAAAATTAACAAAACACAATCGCACACGAAGATAAGGACTAAAAATAAAGTCAACACAAAAAATTATACACATGAATCATATTTGTTACTGCTAGAGGCATTCTAATATTGAATCTATCCTGTAGATTATATCAGCTTTCTTGGAACATAAATCGTCATTTGAGGACTGATATTGTGGTTTTGTCAACTTGCCAGTGAGGAGTTTTTCTGCCAGTTGGATACCTTCTTGAACTAGATCACGATATTGTTGATCCAAATGGTTGATGTCGTTCAACTAGAAAAATAAATATGACCGTTTTAATTTCTAACTTGAAATCCAGATATAAGAAGTAACTCAATAATATAACTACTGAGTCAACTTTTGGTAAATACTTTTTGTAGAAGGTATGAGCTTGATACATAGAATGTACGGATAAGTCGAAACACCCTACTCCTAATACTTAAACAAAATCAACTGAATAGAAGCAAAATGGGACCTACCTAGTACTTTACGGATGTGGAATAGATAATAAACATTCCTAACTCTATTTGGCGTGATGAGTTCGAGGATGAGACTAGTTGGGAACAGTGAAAGTGGTTAGTGTATGATTTTGTGTCGTGATATGGAAAAAAGCTGTACACGATTGGTATTTGTCGGTCCTTCATGAATTCCTGGTTGGGATCCTAAAGACAGAGTATCACAGTGGTTTCAGATGTTATCAGACATGATTAAGAATAGGAGCCAGAGATGATCCTAATGTAATTTTCTCTTACTCTCTTTATATGAGTAACTTCTTTAACTGAAACGATTCTTTTTGATTGCATTTTTCTTAACCGAACTACACTAAATATTCTTCAATCTCACTCAATTACATATATTAATTGTTTGCGGCTTTTGTACAGATCTTTATCTCTTCATAATCTCATTTTTTGTGTTGCTCATATATACTTCGGGTATCCTTTTGCACCAACATTTGTCTAAATAAGTATCATATGCAGTGAAGATTATGTACATGACAAATCTCACCGTTCGTCGGCTTGATTATGTAGTGCATAGACTAATGTAACACAATTTAGTGATTATGTGTCGAATAAATGACCAAACAAAGTGAAAATCCAGTCATACTCCATTACACATTTGAAGTTTGAGTAAGTCAAGTGTTAAACTTTAAGGTAAGAATATTGACTGAAAACAAAAATTTATACTAAGAAGCCTACTTTATCTACTCCGTCCGGATATAAATCTCCCATTTTATTCTGAACTGACATCAACTGTTGATTTAGACTTTTATATTCCGCTTCTAATTTACGGCGATCAGTTGTGAATTGTGCGCTATCTTTAGATCCTTTATATTTTGTCAGGGCATCTTCATAACATTGATACAAAGAAGAACGACATCTTAGCAAGGCTTGAGTTTCATCTACTAGCGTTTGTATTCGAAGGCGAAGTTCATTTTTTTCATCCTTCGGTAAAATAAAAAAGGTTCATTAAACTAAAATTGCATTTAAGGCAGTTAAGTAAATATTCAACCAGAAACACTAGATTTCTATACATGTTGAAATTTCAAGGATCACATATTAGTCAGCTGGGAATTTGTGCAGTGAGAAAAACATTTCTGAAGAGTAAGTCCCAACAAATTAAGTAGTAAACCTTGAGAATTGTGACTATCAACTAATCAGTTCCTAACTTACAGATTTGAGAAGTCTGATGGACTTACCAACCCACCAAAATATCTTAGATACATTTAAAGTGCATTTGAGACTCATTTAATAAGCACAAATGGATTTCTATATACCTTTTAGATATAGAAAACAGAACAGGTGTTTATTGGTTTTACTCATAATTCGTAAAAATATTCCTGCGAAAGCGACAACGGGAACATATACCAATAAGGTAGCCAAATTCAGGTTCAGCTAATAGCTGAGAATTATAAAAAAAGGCGATGAATAGTGTGTACAACCACAAGTCAACACATGAATACGAAACTACGAATTGCCTTTTGATCAATAGACCATGGCTTTAGGTGATGAATAGTGACAATGGAAAATACTGACAATCACAGTTTAAATGACGATGAGACAAAATACAGGTACAAAGACAACTAGTCAGTTCAAGAGAACAATGCATAAATTTAATGGTATTGGACCTAAACAAATTGTATTGTTGATCAGTAGGTCTAAACTTTAGTGGTTGACTTATCTTGCTGTTGGGATTTTGTCGGAAATTTGGTTAGTTATAGTTATAACCGCTATATAAGGGCAATCTGCATAGGATGCAAAACCGTTTAATAAAATTGAGTCGCATACTTTTTATCAGGTGTCCATCTGGACTCAGTAACTAAGAGGATAACACGATGAAGTTCGAGGCGAACGCTACTAGATTCGCGTTCAGGAGTGAAGATCAACTGTAAAACGCAAGTACATCCAACCGACCAGTCCTAAACAGGGCGAAACGTGCGCCCTGAAGTGCACTGCTAGCATCACTTTATATGTTCCTTAACTTGTTGGAATTTATTGACTTTATCACAACTAATTGCTATGGAGTTTCGGTCTATTTACATAACAGACACACAAGCAATGGAAGCCATCGGAATGTTCAAAACAGTCAGTCAAAACGTAGAACCAGTGAGTATGTACAACTTGCTTAATTTGCTACACCCCATTAGCACAAAGATGTCAGGCCAAATCACAATAGTAGGGGTATTAAGAGTATCAGTGGTAATAGAGAAGATTGGGCATCGAAAAAATACAAATTGGTAAGGTAAAAACAAAAAATTGGGCCTTAGGAATTTAGAATTCGGGAGGACACAAAAAATGGATGCACTTGGGCCATTGCGAACGATTTAGAAACATATTACTCAAGGTCCCTAACCATTTGTTACGATAATCAAGAGGACCCCAACCAGGTAATCTACACCTATGAACATAACTCGGTCCAATTGTCAACGACTTCATGGACTGATGCTAAGTTCTGGTTTGGCCGTCCCATACCATCCTATACCAGTAAACACCGCCCGTCGAGGAAGGCGGTGATTGGGCATACTTAAAACATGTCTCAACCACAGCTAATGAAGACTTACTAACTCTTCACTAGATTCCCTATCCTTATCTAGTACCCTATTCCTAGTCCAGGCATTATCTACTCCGTGGTCCAAAACACAAGAGCAATGCATCGTAAATGCCTATGATCGAATATCAGTAAACTACGAATATCCTATATCCCCAGTGGCCATGTTTCAGATCTATAAAATAGGACGAAGCAAACTCGTTTTCTGGTTAGAAGACGGATATCTTGCAAAAGCCAATCGAGCTTTCTGAATCCATGCCAAAATCTCGTTAGTCACCAGACCATCAATACTGATGAGACTACCGAGATAAGTGAAGTAGTCGACACGGTCAAACTCTTTATCATCAATTCAGGTGATGGTCCAAGTCAATCCCGAAGTAACATTTCACATTTAGACGGAGAGAACCGCATCCCAAACATGCTTGAATTGTTGATTGCGGTGGTCAGAAGACTGCATTTTGCCAGCGTCTTCACTAAACAGAACTAAATCATCTGCACATTTAAACAAGTGGATCTCCACGTAAACGATGTGTTGAGTCTGATCATCTCGGGTTTACTATTTACGAGCTTAAATCAGACATCAGTATTATTGAGACTAATATTTTTTTAGTTAAACTGGTTCTTCTATGACTGTCACAAGAGGGTCTTTGTTTTTTTATTATAGACTAGTGATTGGCACAAATCGGGTGAGACTGTGTCCAGTTCCCAAATTTTAGCTAAGATTCCAGTTATTCCGGCTGCTAAAACTGGACTATCAACCTTAATAATAAATTAGTCTACTAAGCCCTGTTGCTTTGGATTACTTATGGCCTTTTCAAACTCAATAACAGTTGGAGGATTTACACCAGTCTGCCACTCAGGTTGCTTGGGGATAGCGGGTAATGAAAGCGTGGATGAAGGTTAGTTGAATCAAAGTGTTCTGCCTCCGCTCTTTATTGTGTTCAGAGTTAGACGGGGTTAAGTTTCTGAACATCAGTTAATAGATGCTGCTGAAATCCATTGATTCTTCATGACCCTTCGGTTTAAGTTACTAGTAGATATCACTGCAGTTTTCACAACTTTTTGGATATCATCCCAAGCTACCTTGGGGTGTATATCACTTATGTTTGACTAACTCCTTTAGTTGTTTCTAAAATATACTCCTGACTTTTTATAATTAAGTTGAACTCGAAGGGCTTTTATGTGTGGACTTTCTACGTCCAGCAAGATGCAGACAAATACGTACTCGAACTAGAGCAAAATCTGAGTTTATATATGTGCCGCAGACTAGGTAGAAGTCTTCAATCGAGCCCCTGGCTAGTGGCTACGTGATCTATGAGTCCATCAACGAGTTGATTGTGAGGATAGCCACGTCAGACGCTATTTCTCCTTATGCTTAAAGTTATTTACCAGAAATAGACAGTTATCTGAGCGACAGACAACCATCATTATCTGTTGACTGAGCTACAACACCGGAAGATCCACCCAAGTGACTTTCGGTTGGTTAATCTTACCTATGTGATTATTAAAATCATCTGCCATTATGACTACGCTAGAGCGTCTAGCTTTTTGAGGGTTAGACAGCTCCCCATAGGATTCATCTTTAATTTTATCTGAGCTGCAATCAGTGGGAGCGTAGGCAAAATAGCTCGGATGAGCCACCACTGAGTCAAGGTGACAGCTACGATCGGGAATAATCAAGCGAAATCAACCGGAGTTTCGCGTTGGCTCGATTTTACATTTTGATGAATACTTATCAGATACTTAGCAAGTGGGTTTCATTAAGACAAGGTCGCTGAGACTTGAAAAGTACTTGTGAAGACGTGCTGCCTGTATTTGCTTTATTCTCAATTTTACACAAATGCACCAGTTTGTTTGTGATCTTAAGACGACTAGTCGGGAAAAACACAAGGTATCTCAGACTCTCGTACTTGTTCAATTATTAAATGGATAACCACAACATGGGAGCCAAAAAACTTTCCAAGAAACTTACCTTGTAGATCGAAAAGTCCAAGCGGACATAAATAATTACAGCACCGAATATACATAAGAAAGCTAAAATCAGCATCATAGGTTCTCGGAGGAGCATTGGCAGAAAGAAGCGATAATTCACCTAGGTATTAAAAATATATCATTAGGTTTTTATAAAATGGCTGAATAATTATTGTACAATTAGCGACACAGTTCATGCACACCCAAGTTTTTGCTTTGACGCACACGAGATAATTAAGCTCTAATACATTGATTTTGGATAATCCAAGGGTGACTACAAGTAAACTTTCAAGAATTCAAGTCTATAAAATCTGGGGATTGCATTGTACAGTGATATATTGGTTTGAAAATGGTTTTGTAGTAGTCAATGCAGAATCCTTTGGCACGTTAGACAATCAGGTATAACTAAGAGTAAAACTCAAATTACCAATCTCCATCGCGAAAACGACCCAGGATGTCGACCACACAACACTTCAATTGCTGTCTGGTCGCTATTATGGTGTATACAAATCTTAAGAACACTTATCTAGGTAAATCACTGTTACTTCAAAATACGTCTAGAACAAAAATGAAAATCTCGTCTGAATCACCTAGCACAAACAAAAATACAGCTAAGATGCAAAGGAAGCGATAACAATAATACAGGAACTACGTACATTTGCACTCATTTCACGAGCCACTAAATTCCCTGGTACGTTCGAGTGGGAAGTCAGCTTTCCCTATTCAAATGCTCTCACATGGTCACGCGTATACAGCTATTGACAGGGAAGTCCTGCTCACTGTCTCCCCGTGGCGGGGGTGTTACTTGGGAAATTAAGAGGACGAAAATCGAATGTCCAGTGCTTTAACCGAGTTGGCTGATACGGAGGAACCACCTAGGGGAGTTGGAAAACCCTGACTCTAAACCAATAGTCCACATGGGCTTCAAGATCCTGAGGGAACAAAAGGCTTATGAACCTATTCTTAGGCACTGGATACTATGGGATTGCATTTCCCTACGTTGCTTCAATGACTTTTAAATCAGACCTTTAGGTCAAAGGCTCGTGGAGTTGCCTCCTAAGGAAACTGCATGTCGGTTCGGGTGCTCAAGCAGTACCCCAGAACTCGCACACAAAACATTCGATTTATGGTGAGTATATTTGATGCCTTCTTGTACCAACGTTTGTCTAAATAAATAAATAAAAATACTCATTTGGAGAACGTGAATATTCGTGAGAAGAGAACTGTCCTTATACATATAGATATATATATATATACACACAAGTTTTTACCTTGAAATCTTGAATGTGTTCATCGACAAGATTTGCAGCTTTGCAGACGATAACGGTTCGGCCTGATGTGTCTAAGTATGTTTTCAAATTTTCAAAATGCTGTTCATGAACTGGAAAAGGTGTTTCGAACTGAATATCGTCAGAAGTCTCGGGGAGAACAATTTTCAGCGTTAAGTTGCGAATGAATTGATCCTTGTAAACACGGTCAATGAACGGCATTACAAGAACAAACTTAGAACCTAGTGAAAGTAATCAGACAATTAGAAGCCAGTTTGAAAGGAGTAATTACATTACTGTGGAGTTATCCACGGAATAAACTGAACTCTAATAACGGACATAATAGCAGATCCAATTGCTTTAATACAATAATATTGATGCGTATATAGATGCAGTTTATCTCTTGGAAAAGATGACTATTTAGACTGGCAAGCGCAACCACACTTGCATAATCCCCCTAAGAAAACCACTTGCTTCGGTCTGGGTACCCTGGCAGTATTACATCCCACACACAAATCAAGTGACTTGTGGCGCATATGTATTCGGAGTCTCTTTGTACCAATAGTTGTGCACAAATAATTAATCCACTTCAAATATCTTCATGTGGATTTGATGGACAACTAAGCACTATTTTATAATAACGATGCTGAAACCTACGCATATGAGCAACAAACTTACCACTGTGATAGAGGAACTCATAGGCTGGGATGTTGTATCCTATTGTGTAGCGCGTTTTCCATCCACCCATCAACGGGAAGCGCGGAACGAGAGTCACCTCCACGGAATCTAGCAGGTTTTTGACTGTGCTTGTGCTTATATTGCCAATCTCATCGCGATAGTAAATGTCTTTTGCAGATGGTGGTAGAACTGTCTTAAGGGAGTTGACTGCTACCTGTTGTCCAACTCCATAATCAAAATCCAAACGAGAAAACGAACCACGCAACTTCGCACCCGTGTTCACGATTTCAAGCGTTTCTTCAACAGCAATATTTCCCCAATGCGATACTTCGATGAGACGAGTCATATCAGTGACCGTGAGGAATGGAACGTAATACTCGAAATGTAGGACAAGTGGCTCCTAACAACTTATTAGTGATAATAAAAACTCACCGTCGAGAAGGCTGGACGGCTTTCGTAAGTACCATAGACTAAATTATTTCCATTTATGACAGGTGGGATTGACGTAGCAGTGTGAGTTAGAAGTTGACCCTTTGGCAAGTGAATGTACGTTAGCTGATTGTCAGTCAGATACGGGGAATAAAAGTAAGCATTGCCACTAAACTTGACGAACTGCTTATCAGCTTGATAAATCTCAGCAGGTCTTGGTTCTAACAATTCAGTTAATACAATGTCCACAAACAAATGAATTTGTTCGGTCGACGGTTTTCCAAGATCTATCGAGTACGTATAAGGCATGCCGGTTGTTGGCTTTACAGGGACTTTCCGCGATGACTTCAGGTCTCCACACTGAAGTATCAAAGTATGAAAGTAATACTAATTACCGATGCACCGATGAAGGACAGATGTTCCATTCTCTTTCTTCAATGACAAGTTGGTACTTAGCAGGTGTTTCACTCAGTAGAATATCATGATGTATCTTTACAATGTTTCCTTTAAAGCGTATCGTACGAGTCACATTGGTGTTTTTCAAGCCTAGAACAGGTACTACCAACAACAAGAAAACGAACAGCATCAGTAACTGAGAATTAACACTCAGTGAACAAGTGACTGAGGTGGATGCATACAAACGAATATCCAAGATCAAATGTCCAATATTTTAGTGGAGAAAGAATATAAACTAATCGATTGTTTTGAACTCTCACCTCAATACTTAAGTACAGCTCCAAGTACTAAAAGTGTCTAGCAATCAAAGACAGCAGTTTAGCCGTCAAACTGAACTGATCATATTGAACTCAACGTTATTTTCCGTTTGTGTGTCTTGAGTACGGGTAGATTCGTTTTCCCCATGAAAACAGCGATTATGTAACCAGTTGTCACCATCTAATGCAAACCTGCGAAGGTTAGACCCAAAAACGTTAAGAGTAGCCAAGCGGAATTTCATGGTTTAATGTAGCTAAGGGTTTTGAGGCTATAGCGATAAATAAATAGACAAAATCAGTAGCTCTGTAAGTCTTCCATATTTTGGTGCTGACCGCATTAGTTTAGCTAGACTTACCCAGCTGAATGTGCTTGGCTCCTCATCCTCAACAGAGGATGAGTGGGTACGCCATGCTGCACATCAACAACCGCTAGCCACTTCCCCATATATCGATAGTCTACCTAATATATCTTCCAACTCCTTCAGTCATTATTTCCGATTTGACCATGTTGACACACTTCGATTGTAAGAGTGTTACTGGTTAAAGCTTTCAACAACAAAACAATGGCTGACAGATATCCGATACCATACATCCACAACTTTGCTAATGGCATGGAATATGCCGCCAATTTTTCGAAGACTGACCTGGTTAGACCTTATTATCATATTCCCATCTTCTCATAAGACATATCAAAAACAGCATTAACTATGCCATTCGGTTTGTATAAATTTTGGCTCGCGGGTTGGCTAACGGAGCACAAACGTTTCAGCGATTCATTGACCATGTCATAAAAGGTATGGCAGTATATGCGTATACCGGGGGTTTGCCAGTATCCAAAGCCGCGGGGGTGATCAGCTTCCACAACTGAGACAGTTATTCAAGAAACGTCATAAGCGTAACATCTCTATGAGCGTTCAGAAATATGGATTCGGAAGAGAATTCCTCCAATTCACAGGTCAAAAGGTAACTTATCAAGGCACCAGACCAGTTCCCGCAGAATTTACTGCTATCCGCGACTATCCGTTACAGACATTTTAGAACTCCAAGTGAGCTATAAACGAAAAGATGATGCTGGTTCGGTGAAGAAAAAAACGCCACTAGCCATCATAACTGGTGCATCGATCGTGGCAGTGACAGCCGTATTTCAGCCTTTAGTATATAGCACACCGGAACCACTTTTATTTTTCTCAAAGAGACGGAATCCTACGTGGACGAGAAATGGTAAGTTCAAAAGAGAATTGCCAGCGATTTACATGTCAATAAAGCATTTCCGACAAACGGTGGAAGGTACAATCTTTATTGTGTACACATATCATAAACCTGTTGCGAAAGTATTAAATGCCAATCAAGACAATTATTCACCAAGGGAAATTTGATATAGAATCTTCTAGTTTGTTCAGTGTAAAATATGTTAAAGACGATGATAACAAAATATAGGCCACGTTTCCTAGAAAACGATAAACGCACCCACTCCAGACGGAATCGTCTGTCACACTCTAGCTGAACTGCAAAAAGGCGGATGTCGAATTAAGGTTAAGATCCAGTAATGCAACTTCTTTGTTGTTCGCAGACGTTCAGTTAAGTATGATGAAAGTTAAAACATGAAGTTCAGCGAGGGGATCTCTTTTCAACAAATTTACATGTGATATGTCCATAGGCCGTCGACGGCCGATAATCTCGTGTTGAATAATACGAAAAATCTCGTAATATATGAATAATATATTGCATCCTGAAATATAAATCGTAATCAGACTTTTCGACAAACGTTTCGTATGGCTCAACATGAGTCATAATGTAATGTAATGTAATCGGACACAGTCATCAATGAAATGTCAAAACCGATCGTCCTGTGATAGGTTTTCTATCACCCCAACACTAAATTTGAACATAAACACATACATACATGAGATTATTGCCCAAATTCGAATGGCTAAAACTGTATTTTCACCTGCATCGGTAGATTTAAGTAGTGGCCTGTAGCAGTGTCAATAAAGGACACCCAGGCTGGGACTGTAGCTAAAACCTTAGTTGGCAGTTGGGTCTTTCGTTATGGAGTGCCAGCAAATACTACAACAGATAGATGAGCTCGAATCAAAAGTTCCCTATTCCGGCAGCTCACAGAACTTATCGTTATCTTTCCACCTCATGGCGAATGTTATGATTAAGCGACTGTGTCGGTAATTAAAAGCCTTTCTCAGGACTATCCTTGTCAATGATGATTGGGCCAATAAGTCTCTTCTGGTCATGATATGTTTGAGAACACCAATAAATCGGGACATCGGATGTTGTCCTGAATGGTCGGCCTACGGAAATACTTTATGTTTACCCGTAGAATATTCCGCTCAAAATAAAAGCACTTTGAACGATGTGGTTAACTATGTACAACATATAAAGAAGCGCGTGAACAATTAGAAAGTAACACTGCCAAGACTAAAGTGACAACAACTATATGTACTGTAGGAACTGCAATAATAGCGTTCATCATAACAGATAATATACAATCTCCTTCGCAGCTGATTTATGGCGGTTCATTTAAAAAGATTGGGAGCAATGATAAAATGGTTGGTATGGAAAAAGCTGGTAAAACGGACCCAATTAGTATCGATGGAGGTAAATCAGCCTTCGTTGAAAGTGATCATCAATGGACGAACGCAGATCCTTTAGAAACCGCCACATCACCGAGACGTGAAATTCAGCCGTTAACGACGGGGAGTAAGAAGCGACTCCAGTAACGATGTGGTGTGGTCGAAGACTTAAGTGATCGCAACGGCAAATAACCACGATTTTGAATTAAAATCATCGCTCACTGTTTTTTAATATCGATTATTTTAATTCCTCTTAGTCTTACACGCGGACATCGTAAACCTTACATTGTTTATCATGAAATTCATCATATTTCGTATACTTCGATGTTTATATATATAATCCTTTAGAAACTCTACCATATGATTTTGATCCTCTATCATTATTTAATCTGACCTGACCTACACACGAGAACTCAGACATACAAGTACAAATAACAGCTTACATGATATTTCTATCCTGCACGTTAATTTGAATAACCCAATGTTTTCTGCATATCAAGACTATTTTGTCCAGTTCAACACCATTTGTAGATACAGACATTTTTTGAGTCTTGATTTACAAGGAGGAGATATTACTGCGTCACACCCACGCTTAGGTCTGTTTACGTCTAATATTTTCAAGCCCTTAAAGTAACTTGTCTGTGTTGTTCAAACATTAACAATTAATCTGTTATTATTGTGCATGAATGACTGCGTGATACAGTTTACACACATATTCATGTTTCTAGCTTCAATGTTAGTCACTTAAACCGCTTGATGATATATATATATATCCTCAAATCTTATCAGTTCATACTACGCGCGAACTTTGAAAGTGGTAACATTTTTTTTCACGTGGTTTAGGAATTCTTCGACTTGCTCTTTTGTAGGGTGTATTATACTGTGATTATCATCCTATCCTGTACATCGGGAACATCTCACCTCGAAACATAAGAAAAAACTTATTTTTATTCGACGGACAATTACCAGTTCATATTGTACCTATTGCGGACTTAAGTCGTAAATAGGTCTGCAATTTATTATATACTCACAGTCTCTAATCCTAGTATTAACCAGGTTAATACTTAATAACAACTAGTACTCAGATATTATATTTAATTTAACGAGCACTGTGGTCACTTATATTCATATCATGTCCAATAACTCCAGTAAAAGAGGAATTTCACCAACTTCTAAGCCAAATAAAAGGTCCAAATCTGTAACCCCTACAACTGACGACTCAGTGTTTGACAATGTCGAACCTTTAACTACTGAAAAATATGTGCATTGTACACAAATGTCTCTATCGTCACCAGATTCTCCATGTCGCAGCCCCTTGTTGATGTCACAGGTATTCAGTGTTTCACAACGCTTCTACCAGTAACACCTTCTAATATGTTTCGTTCCCACCAAGAGAAATCAAAAGACAGAGTCGAGGAGATCGGAAGAGTATATTTGGCGATGACCAATATACCGGGATTCTCTGATCTAATCTGGCTAGCGATTGTGGTTGATGTTGAGCACGGCGTTACTACACGTGATCTGGTGCGGATGCCTGACCGAGCGCCTTCAGCTAGATGAGTCCACTAAAACATATGGTCAGCATCCAATGTCGAAAACTTACAGAGCTATTTATTTTAGGGATTTATTTACCGCTACAGATCACTCCCCCCCTAGTGGGGCAGTGACGACCCTAAGACGTGGCCAGCCAGAAGTTTAAACCCAACGAGTTTGTCGTTGGTAAACACTCTTCTGATAGCTTACTAAATTTAGCAGCGTCTGGTCGTCTTTCCTTACTATATGGGACGGAGGTACAACATAGTAAAAAAAGAAAATGTACAATGAAAATTTCGGATCCTCATAAACGTCATCGTTCTTTTCCAGCCGTCCTGGAAAAGAAAAAAGAAAATGTAAGTGCATGTCGAAAATACACTCGTATATGCGTAAAAACACAAGGTCGGCGGAAAAAAAATGGAAAATAAACTCATGAGCACGTAATAGCGTTAAAAAATTGTTTTTTTTGTTTTGTTTTTTTTTAATAGAAATAAAAATATATAAGCATATTAAAATTGTTTTTTTTTCAAAAAAAAAATAATAATATAAAATGTCGAGAAGTGCCTTACGTGCAATAGTCGTTTAAATGTTCTG